CATTTGGAAGAAATGAAGTCGATCTGATCAAAAACAACGTCGTTAGAATTTTGTATTTCAATCTCTTGTATGGGAGCCATCCTATATAGTCGCCCGATTCGGCTCGTACCGACTTATATACTGCGTGGAACAACTACACAACTTTTGGGAAAGTTTCAGCAAGATAGCTTTAAAACTGAGAGACTAGTTTGCGTAGAAACGAACAGACGGACAGACGTACAGACGAATTTGGATTCAGATCGTAATGCTGATCAAGAATATATATACTTTATGGGGTCTGAGGTGTCTCCTTCACTGCGTTGCAAACTTCTGACTGAAATTATAATACCCTTTGCTCTGCAAGGGTATAAAAATGTTTTAATTTTTTTGTTTAATGAATGCAATCAAAAAAGGAGGAGTTTTTGCTTAAAAATCGGTACCGGAAAGTTTTTGGAAATTGATGTTTTAAAGTGGCTTAAGGCCTGCAGTTGCTATAGCTAAATGTAAGTTTTGCGCAATTTAAATTATGCGTAAATTTCGTAATAATAATAATAAAATATTTTTTTTCAGGCCATTTTTCTACGCGTTTCTGGGATGGAATCCTTGCATGCTCCGATGAAACCCCACATCACGTATAGTTTTCCCATATGGCGTCAAAAATTTACGTGCCGTGCAACGCCAAATAAAATGACATCAAATTTAATGATAAACTGCAGTTAAGCCAATTTACAGTTGACTTGTTTTAGGGGTGCAACTGCAACTGCCACTGCCACTGACAAGGGCACTGGCAAATGCGTGGCACGCAACTCAATGACTTTGCACTGACCTTCGTGTTTGGATTTGCAAGCGCCTTCTCCCTCTGGCGTATCGGAAAATCGGGTGCGACTTTTTATACGAGTATTGCGTAACTTTTTCACCTTTCGCGGGAGTGGTTTTCCCTTCCGATTGAATTGCAGCTCATCCAAGGCGAATCGAACACGGAAAGCCACTCAGTTGAGGGAGATCCACCTGCAGTCGCTGGCAGTGGGTCGTTACTGGCTTTGCTTGGCTCGGCTATTAGTTTTAATTAGCCACTGGCAGCCATCAAATAAACGTCTTTTTGCCAGATTACGCTCGCATCCAGCATCATAAGCGAACTAAAACTGGGATAGTTTCTCTCCTTGAGCCAGGAATGGCATGCAAATCGACATAAAATTAATAAACTCGCAAATTGCATGGCTTTCCCCTTTGTTGCTGGACTTCTAATTAGCTGGAAACTTTCTGTCCCTCCAGAACCTTGTGCTGGCTTTATCAAAAATTTGTTAATTAAGGAACTGCGCGACAGGACACCCCGTCAATGTCTTTAGCTTTGATGAGGACATTTGGCAGAAACAGTCGCAAGAAAGAAGAGCGATAAAATCTTAATGAAGCATTGGGTCGCTTAGATTTGTATGTCGATTTAAAGAGCAATTAACCGGAAAGAAGAAGGTGTCATAAAGGAAAAAACTGGCACTTGAACTGTTGCATACTTAACTCGATCATTAATTATTCTGATCTCCGTTCCTTATTAATTAAGTAGGAAATGCTACAAGTCATAAACGTTACAAGTTGAAACATTCATTTTTGAATCTACCCTGAAACAAGAAAGGTAGCTAACTTCTGCAAGCCGAAGATTATATACCCTTGCAGTCATCAAATATGTCAAGCAAAATACATAAAGGCTAAACAACATCGATGATCATGTCTGATGAAAAACAACGATTTTATAATTTTATTTTTGTTGATTCTAATAATCTATATTATAGTTGTCCCATTTTTATTAAATTTTTTTCTCGGTTCAAGGGTAGTTAAAAAAGTCGATATTGTAAAATTATTGCTCGTGAAATAAAAAACAACGACGTTATAATTTTTTTCCCATTATTTCTATATATATTTTTCGATCTTTCCTATGGCAATTTAATCCGAAATTTGATAGTGGTTAAAAAACTCCATCTGCAAGAAATGAAGTAAATCCATTCAAAAACAAGAAAGGAAGCTAGCTTCGGCAAGCCGAAGCTTATATACCCTTGCAGTCATCAAATATGTCGAACAAAATCCATAAAGGTTAAACAACATCGAAGCTAAGACGATTTTTCTATTCATTTTCCATATTTTCGACTATAGATCATATGGGAGCTATATGATATAGTTGTCCGATTTTGATCAAATTTAACTCGTAATTCAAGAGTCGTAAGAAAACTCTATATTCCAAAAATCATACTTGTCTGATGAAAAACAACGATGTTATCATAGTTTTTTCGATCTTTCCTATGGCAGCTATAAGATAAAGTTGTCCGATTTTTATGAAACTTTTTTCTCAATATAAGGGTTGTTAAAAAACTTGATGTTCAAAAAATCAAGCTCGTGGGATAGAAAACAACGATACTATCAATTTATTTCCATTAATTCTATATATATTTTTCGATCTCTCCTATGGCAGCTATGATAGAGTTATCCGATTTTGTTCAAATTTAATCCGAAATTCAATAACAGTTAGAAAACGCCATCTTGAAGAATTCAAGTCGATCTTATCAAAAACAACAGAGTGAGAATTTTTTATTTCATTCTATTGTATTGGAGCTATCCGATATAGTCGGCCGATCCGGCCCGTTCCGAATTATATACTGCGTGCAACAACTACACAACTTTTGGGAAAGTTTCAGCACGATAGCTTTAAAACTCAGAGACTAGTTTGCGCGGAAACGGACAGACGGACAGATGGACAGACGGACAGACGTACAGACGGATTTCGATTCTGCTCGTGATGCTGATCAAGAATATATATGCTTTATGGGGTCTGAGGTGTCTCCTTCACTGCGTTGCAAATTTCTGACTGAAATTATAATACCCTTTTGCTCTGCAAGGGTATAACAACGGACCGAGAACTTTTTTTTTTCAATCCCTCGTATGGGAGCTATCCGATATAGTCGGCCGATCCGGCTCGTTCCGACTTATATACTGCGTGCAATAACTACTATAGCTTTAAAACTGAAAGACTAGTTTGCGTAGAATTGGACAGACGGACAGACGTACAGACGTACAGACGAATTTCGACTCAGATAGTGATGCTGATCAAAAATATATATACTTTCCTTCACTGCGTTGCAAACTTCTGACTGAAATTATAAGTGTATAAAAAGGGCAATAAAAATTGTTTGCATTTAGAACCAAGTCTTTCTGTGCTTATTAATATTGAAGTCCTGAAACTAGGAATATAAATTTTTGATTTATCAGCTATAGAGCTTGCCACTAAGTTTTCCAAAAAGTATGTATTGTAAACATAATTTAACCTTCGTTAAAAGTCGATAAGTAATATTCGTTCGAACTTAGACGTAGGAAGTTTCAAATGATTATTTATTTGAAATGAATTCACGACGCTAACAGAACCACCATGTTAGTGATTTCCTGTTGTTGAGGTAGCTTAAAAGGACTTCCGATACAAACAAACTAAGGGTACTGCGATGAATATCCACACCACAAAACAACGCTAAGCGTTTGACGACCTTCCCTTTACGTGCTGCGAAAATGTCCAGCAGCTGAAAGCCAAGCTCATCCCTTTCCAGCTTTCCCGCTCAAAGCATAAATTAAGTTGAAGGATGAGCAGCAGGAGTGGGGACACTCATGGCCTTAGCCAAGAAACTTTAGTGCATTTATCCTGCGTGACTTTCTGCTGTCGGAGGGGTCCATTCCGTCTTGTTGGCGTCCTTTGCTCTCAGCATCCGAGCAGCATTGGCCATCCAATTTAATTGCAATTTTCCTTCCAAGCGACCAAAGACAAGTAACCGAAGCAAATAGATCATGTCATCTTGTCAACAAGTTTTACAATTTAATTGCACGCTCAACACAGCACGTCCGCGAACAGCTTAATTTGTAGCCAAGTTTAAAAGTCGAAATCGCATGTGTGAAAAGATTTTCTTTTGCTTCGAAGGAAGATTAATTACTTTAAGTAAGGTGTTTTCATAATAGTTTAACCACTGAAGGTTTTTAATACACAAGCATACATAAAAAAAAGGCGTTCAATTAAGTTTAATTTTCTGCAAGTGTGTTTGTAAGAGTTGAGTATTTATATCTACGTTAATGGTAATAGGGTTTTGGTTAGAAACTTGCAAATCAGTTTTAGTTTCAGTCACCCTATAGAGTTTATTCAGGATTAAAGTCGTGTCGATCGAGCCATATCCCTAGGCCATAGGGCCAGATCGCTGGACACACGTTTCCAGTAGTTGAATTGGTTGCTTATAGTTTCCCTCGGTCTGACAATGAACGACCTTGCTGGCAGAGCGGACCTTTTGTGCATTGTGCAGCACTGGCGAATGCAAATGCGAATCTGAATGGGACGCCATTCACAGAAATCATATTACGTATACGCCCCACAGAACGCCGCACTTACCACAATGCAGCAGCAATTTTTGATTCTCTGTCATTTCCCCCAATCCGAAGAGGTAAGGAAGGAGAGGAGTGGAGTGGAGCACAGGGGATCTGTGTTTGCACATTTCGTTGCTGTTCAATCCCAGCGGGTCTCGTAAACACTTGGCCAACACGCAAACACACAGAGCACCAGCGAAAGGAAATGTGCATCGAGATTGAACGGGGAAAACTTGGACGAGGGTTCCGCTTTGGCAATTGGCAATCCTTGACCCGTCATAACGTCTTCTTTTCGCCCTCGGATTCCCCCAGCTGACAGCCGAGTTAAATGAGATATGCTTTTTACATTTTTTCGATAAATTTCCAGCACTTGCCTTGGACCAACTGCTTCTGGGGGTGGGCTAAAATTATTGGAGAGCCAAAACCGTAACATAAAAATGGCAAGCGGATTTGCGCAGCGCTTAATATTGAGATTTAGTGAGGAGCGATATTTATGGCAAGCAGCAAGAAGCAAGCTCGCAGAACCAATTTGGGAAGAGTGCTTAGTTTTACCCAGATTTCAGCAGCTTATCTAGTGACATTGATGAATGCCCGGGGCAATTAGTGCTCCGGCTATATAAGAGAAGCTATCCTCCTCCAGTGCTTCATACATCAAGATGCGCTCCCTACTCCTTGTAAGCTTCCTCTTCGGCCTGGCCTGGTCCTATCCGGAACCGGAGCTCTCGCCCTCGTCCCCGGCACCTGGGAACGAGACCTCCGATGGGGCCGAGGTGCCCGCCTTCTCCCCTTTCAGCCTCTCCGATGGCAGGTTCGCCCTCGGCGCCTTCGCCAAGGTCAACTGGTTCCAGGCCCAGGAGACCTGCGCATCCTACGGGTACACGCTGGTGAGCATCCCCTCGCAGGCGGACCAGAACAACCTGCGCAACTTCCTCTTCAGGTACGCCCGCTCGCAGCAGGAGCTCCTCAACGACCCGCTCTGGACCTCGGGCACCGACCTGGCCAGCGACAACAACTGGGTCTGGTTCAGCAACGGACGCACCATCAACTACCGCAACTTCAAGAACGGATCCCCCGGCGACTACAGTAGCGACCACTGCCTGGGCATCAACGGAATCACCGGTCTGTGGGAGAACGAGAGGTGCTCCGAGCAGCGCTACTTCGTCTGCGAGAAGCGTTGTCAGTTCGACGACGACGTTTACTAGCATAGTCCGTCGCAATTTGTTTAGAAACTGTTGGTGTTGGTGTTGGTTTATTAAAATATCAGCCAAATGTGAGCATGCAAAAGTGCGATTTAGTTTTTCATTCATGAAAATCGTCTCACAGCTTGGGTTACGTAGCAATCTCCTTTTGTTTGCTTTTTGGCGAGCTTTAAGGCAGGGTGCTCGACAGCTCTTCGCCCGTCCACTTTGTTTGAATCAACTTAGGTCGGAAAAAAAGAATTTTTGCGTTGTCAGAACATACATATTTTGAAAACTAAATTCTAGGAATTTAATTGATAATTAAAGTTATTGACAGATACTGACAGGTTGTTAAAAGCTGTTATGTCCGTTTCTCGTAAATTAATAAGGACATACTATTTCCTAAGAAGTGTGTAACATATCAAGGGAACAACTTTCGAAGCTTTGAAATACATATATATACATATTGTTGATCAAGATCAGATCTTATACGTAAATTCGAGTATTTGGTACGGAACGCAAGTTTATTAAATGTTTAAGCCGCGGCCACCTATAATACCCCCTCTTGGTTAGTACAAAAAAATTGATTTTGGAACTCAGTGATAGCTTTTTACAAGTTTACTCCGCCTACTTTTACGCCCACCCACAGCTCAAGGGGCGGCCTACCCTGGCTGTTCTTAAATAAGTTTTCACGTATATTGAAACTGCTGATGTGAGTAAGTCGAGGCACTCGGTTATATCGCTCTCTCTTGTGCAGCCATTAGGGCTTTATTTCTACAAAAGTGATGAATCTGGTATTGACGAAGTTGAGAATATTTTGTATTTGCTTATCTTGTGACATTGATTAATGCCCGTGCCAATGAGTACTCTGAGTATATAAGGGGACTTCATTCCTTCCATTGCTTCATAAGATTCAAGATGCGTTCCGCAGTCCTGATCGGTTTTTTCCTCGGCTTGGCTTGGTCTCACCCGGAACCGGAGCTCTCGCCCTCGTCACCGGCACCTGGAAACGGGACCTCCGAGGAGGACAAGGTGCCCGCCTTCTCGCCTTTTAGCTTCCGCGATGGAAGCTACGCCATGGGCAGCTTCGCCAAGGTCAACTGGTTCCAGGCCCAGGAGACCTGCGCATCCTACGGGTACACGCTGGTGAGCATCACCTCGCAGGCGGACCAGAACAACCTGCGCAACTTCCTCTTCAGGTACGCCCGCTCGCAGCAGGAGCTCCTCAACGACCCGCTCTGGACCTCGGGCACCGACCTGGCCAGCGACAACAACTGGGTCTGGTTCAGCAACGGACGCACCATCAACTACCGAAACTTCCAGGACGGAAAGCCCTCCCGCTATGAAGCCCACTGCCTGGGCATCAACGGATTCACTGGACTTTGGGTGAACGAGAGTTGCGACGAGCAGCGCTACTTCATCTGCGAGAAGCGTTGTCAGTTCGACGACGACGTTTATTAACCCAATCGGTTGATATGACCTATAGGTTTTTAGTGCTGGACGATTAAAGAATCAGCCACATGTGTGCACGCAAAAAATGAGATAGAGCTTTTGGTTTTATATGGTCCGTTGTCATTTCCTTTTTAAGATTTCGTTTAAAAATTAATTGTCGCCTCATGGAAATCCAACACACAACTGTTATCCTTTCGCGATTAAAATGTACTTTCGTATCTTCCTGATGAGCTCATTGTTCATTCTTTTGAGAACCAATAATAATCATAATCATATAATAATAATAATCATAAGTTTTTACGGAGTACGGAAGTGTTAGGCTCTAGTTAAGTATTATATTTTTGTACAGCTGATAAAAAGAATTTCTTGCAAGTTTTATTCGTTACCAAAAAATTTCAACAGATTGTAATATATTGTTAATGGCGAGCCAAATTCAGTCTTTATGTTCTAGTTAGGTAATTCATATGTTTATGGTTGCCAAAAAGAATCGATTAATAATTTCCTTCATGGCCAAAAAATGACAACATAGCTGGCAATAAAATATTTTTGATAAATTATTCAGTTTATTGTACTTGATTGTGTAATGTCGTTGTGGTAGTAGATTGTTATTTTTTAATTTTTCTGAATTCGCAATGGGCTCGACAAGCTTTACAAAATGGTTGTTGCTTTACGGGTTTTAGCTAAACATTAACATTTTTAAATCATTTTTTAAACCTCAAAATCGGTGCTTTCGAGATACAATTTTATAAGTATATTTTCTGGTCTAACGATGTGTAACTTAGCTGGCAAATATTTTCGCAGATGAAATAGTGCTTTGCACCGCAGGAGGCACTGTGCCAAAAATTGTCCAATCCTAGGAACAGGCAGGCGTCTGAGCCATCTAAGTCGGACTTCGGTTCGTGTTTGGCCCACTGTGCGTAGGTTACGGGAATTCCAGTGCTCAACCAAGTCCAGATATAGGCGCGCTCCACTAGATTTGTGGCACCCAGCCAAAATGTCTTGTTTCCAAAGACCCTTTCTGAAAAGAGCTCTCACTTGAAGGAGGTTTCCACACTTAGGTACACTCTTACCATTCGAATTAACGTAGTCTAGGATTAGCTGATGGTTTTCCTCATTTCTGACAGTTGCCAAGACGGCACCGACTCTATTGCATATATGGTTAGCCTCAATCCAGGAGACCTGAAAACCGCTGAAATGTATTAAAGCATGTCCCCAGAAGCACTGTCTGAAAATCACCTTGGCAAAATTAGCCACGGAAAAATACGGATCGCACTGGTCCAGCGGATCGCACCTTGGAGCAAAGTTGGGAACCGATTTTACGGTGCTATTTAACGCTGTTGCCCAGAGTGGCAAACTACAGATGGCGAACAAAATGGCGAACATACTGAATTTGGCTCCTCCAAAATCGAAGTTATTTATATAGCCTCCGTCAAAAGATGTCTCATTAAAAGTAGCTCAAAAAGCCATTAGGCCACTCCAAATCGACAGAAACATTATCACAGGTTGCGCATTATTTCTAGGAAAATATAAAATTTTTATTCAATAGAAAAATTGTAAACGCTTTACAAACTTGTCCCAAATGCCTTACAGCGCTAGGTAGCTAAGCATATGATCGGGCCTAGACGCGGCCACTCTTAACAGTTAATAGTTATTAAATATATACTCAGGGTTTCTTTTGCTATACAAAACATTATTGAACAGACTCGTACTCGCACTAAACCTAAATTAATTTAAATAAACACTGACATGGGGAGCCCAAAGTCTGACTCGAGTAGCATACATAGGTGTATAGTCTTTGTAGATGGTACCTTAAGTTGTCTGACTCGAGCTCTTATTGATGAAAAGTTGGGATAAATAGATCGAACCGGCTTTACTAACTAACAATTTTGTGCTCCCAACGAGAAGAATTATTGTGATTTCTATTGCGGGGTTTCCTAACGATATTTCTACGCGGGGCAAGCCTAAGGAAAGTGAAGACAGCACAGATGGGATTTCTTTAAAAAGGTCTAACTTAAATATTGTTGACAAGACAATTTGCTCTGCTCCCTAATGTCTCCTTGATCTTGGATGGGTTGGACACAAAAGAGCTCAAAGACCAAAACATTTACCTGGTAGTCAATGGACAATTTAAAGGCATTCTGTTTAGTATTTGTTAAATATAAAAGTATATACAAATACTTTGAACACTGATCAACCATCAAATCAAACTTATTTCAATGTGCTAGTAAATTGTCACGCACAATTTTAATTACTATCTTTTTCTTGGCTCTGCGAAGGCTGAAACTTGTCCAAGCACTGTTTCCCTCACTAGCTAACATTTTGGTAGAGACCCACCGAACTCCTTATCTAAACTAGGAATATTCCCGTCACTTGACCACGAGTACAGCCCCGTCCCGCTGCCTCACTGGTAGTAGTCGCCGTACTGGTAGGTGGGCGGATGCTTGGACCCCTTCCCGTTCGGCTGGTAGAGGTTGTGGTGCGAGGAGGAGCGGAAGGCGTAGCTGGGCGTGGCAGTTTCTGGCCGGTTGTGGGCGGGCGAGTGGGCGCGGCGTGCCCTCCGCTCCTCGATGTTCGCCGGCCAGCGCTGGTGGCGGTGGGTCGAGTCTTCCGAGGAGCGCCGTCGGTGGTACCGCTTAGCCGGCGGAACGGATCCCGCAGGCGGCGGCGCCGCCGTCGGCAGCTGATGGCGGTAGCTGCTGTCGTCGCCGCTGCCCGCGCTGAAGTGCTCCGCCTGCCTGCGCAGGCGCTCGTCCACAGAGGAGTTGGGCGTCCCGTGAAGGTCGATCACGTCGCCGTGCGAGTTGCGCCGGGCTCTCTGCATGTCCATCTCCACGTCCTGGGGGTAGTTCTCGTAGGGGCTCCTCCGCTGTCGCTGGCGCTGCTGCTGCTCGTGTGCGTCCAGGCGGTGGCGCCACTCGGCCGCCGAGACCTGCTGGCCGTAGAGGTCCGGCTGCGCCTGGAACTGCGCCGCTCCCTGGCCGTAGATGTTCTGGTAGGAGGAGCGGCGCCAGCCGTCCTCGTAGCGCCGGCGCGGCGAGTCCCGCGCCACAACCTCCTCCTCGTTGGGGGCGGCCTGCTGCTGGCGGCGTTGCGATCGGCTGGAGCTGCTCTCGGAAGAGTCCTCGCCCGAGGTGCCCAGGCCCAGGTCCTTCTCGTCCACGCCGTAGGCCTTGTACGGGGCTCCCAGGAAGCCCTTGGTGCCGTAGGGTCCGTTGATGCCCATGGTGGGGTACTGCATGTAGTAGGACTGCGAGAAGGGCTTCTCCAGCTGGCGGTCCTCCGGGCCCTCGTCCACCTCGGCGTCGCTGCCGTCGTCCATTCCCGTCCAGGTGAGACAGGATCCGGGTCCGAACAGGGAGAGCAGCACGGGCAGCAGGAAGAGGCCGTGCATGGCTCCGAAGAAGATCACGAGGAAGACCATCTTGAAGAAGACCAGGAAGATGTAGCTCTGGGCCAGCAGCAGGGCCACGATGCCCAGTATCGTGGAGCTGGAGCCCTGGACGATCGGCAGACCGAGGGAGTGAAGGGCCTCGCGGACGCGGGCCTTGGGACTGCGCTTCTTCGAGGACATGTACGTGTAGCAGATGTGAGCGGTGAAGTCCACGGAGAAGCCAATGCACATGATCAGGTTGATCATCGAAATGGAGTCGAGGTTGACGTCCCACAAGGCCATGTAGCCAGCGACGCCCAGTTCAATGGAGATGACCGAGAAGGCCACCCACAGGGAGCACAGGATGTTGGGGATGAAGACGAAGGAGATGATCATCATGATGATGGCTCCGATCACCATCGCCTGCAGCGAGACCGGTCGCACCAGCTCGAACTGGTCGAAGAAAACGAAGTAGGGGTGGAAGATCGAGGCATTCAGCGGCGAGTCCTTGCAGATCTTGCGCAGATCCCGCACCATCTCCTTCTCGTGATTGGTGTCCGTGATGTTGACCGCCTGGATGAGGAACCGCGAGGCAATGATCTGCGTTTCCTCGTCGTTGAAGCGCACGTCCAGCGAGAACGGGTTTCCGGGAAAGAGCCAGTGCTCCTTCACCGTCTCGATGAAAGTCTGCTCATCGTCCACGGTCACGTTGAGCAGCTCGTTGTTGCGCTCCAGGAAGGAGAGGAACGAGCGCAGCCAGGACTCCGTGTAGCGCCTGGAGGTCACGTACGAGGTGTGTTCCAGGGTGCTGGTCAGGTTCTCCACCTGCTCCTGCACCAGGGGATCCGAGTAGTTCAGCGGGCCGGCGATAATGACCTGCGATCAGAACAAACCAGATAAATCAGAACGGAAAAGCTTTAACACCTTAATTTATAAACAGGTTCTACATAGTTGTCTCCAGCTCTGTAACCCACCTGCATTCTGTAGGGGAACTCGCGGTAGTAGTCGTCCTCGCGGTCGAAGAACTCCACCGAGTAGGAGTCCTCCCGGGACAGCTTGCGGCGTTCGAGGCCCTCCTTTATCTGGGTGATTCCGTAGCAGGCGCCCACCAAGTAACTGGCAAAGGCCAGGATGATGATCACCTTGCACCACTTGTTGTTGATTACCGCGGCCAGCTTGTCCTTGAAGAAGGCCATCAGCATGTGGTCCTTGTTGTCGATGGGGTTGTCCGGATCGTTGGGGTCGATGCCGCCCGCCATGATCGCTTTGTAGAGGAAGTTGCGCTTCTCTGCGGGCCGAAGAAACAATAGAAAGAGGTGTTGTAAGACAAGTTCCCATTGGCCTCAATTTCAGCGGCACTTGCAGTGGTAAGACTGCGCCTAGTCTGGTTGTTCATGTCTCATGATCAAGTTCATGTTGCAGCTGCTGGTGTTAAGCCATCTAAACTCAGACTACTTCGATCCGGTTGTGGTGCTGTCCACATTTCAGCTAGCCAACTAGACCTTGCAGCATGCACACTTAACTAACTGATTTTCACCGCAAAAACAATTTTCGGATTTCATCACCTTTGAATGGATTATGAATTGCCAAATAAAAACAGAATCCAATTGAAATACCATTGCTCACGTTTTTCGAACAAGGTTACGCCACCCAGAAAGGTGGTGCTAGGGCCTCGATTTTAGGTAACAGTTTGGTGAAAATAAGCAAAAATTTGTATTTTTGTATTTTTATATCCAAGAGCGCATGAAAGTCATCAATAAAACCTCACGCGCTGGCAGAACAACAATAGGTGCCGATCCCCGAATCCGACAGTTCACTCACCTTTGATTGCAACCGACATGGGCTGAACCCGGCAGCCGAAAATGGAATGCAGATTCTTCCGCTCCCTGTAGCCCGAGATGGCCATGCAGGCGGCAAAGAAGGTGATGTGCCACAGGAACGTGAAGCAAACGGCGAAGACCGAGTACGTGCAGAAGATCCTGACCGACCGAAAGGGACTGATGATGCCGATCAAAAACGAAATGAAGTCGGTGACCGAGGTGATCGTGATCGATACGGCCGCCTCGGACATCATGAGACCCATGCGTTCCGCCACCGGCATTTTGGCCTTGGTGCGTCGCCAACCCGCCAGCATTACAAATGTGTCATCAATGCCGATACCTGCGATGTAGAACAAATAGTTTAAGACTAGGTGCAACGATGTGAAATTCATGTCATGCTCACCGATCATCAGGAAGGGCGCAGCCAGATTTATGCCAATAAACTCAATGCCGCAGTACATGGCCAGGCCAAAAGCTGCCAGCGTGGCCATAATAGCTGACACATTGCCCATGAGACCCAGAAAGGGCTTCGACCGCACTGCATCGCCCATCATGCAGGTGATTACGCTAAAAGTTCGAAATAGAAGCGTTATTTAAATCAAACTAAGTGTCACTGATGAGACGAACCTAAACAAACCCATGAGCAGAAAAGTCGAGCTGAAGTAGGGCACCACCGTCTTGGTGTTCTTCTCGAGTTCATGGTCCAAAGTGCGGGACGCAAAGTACGAGACCGAAATGTGCTTGAAGTAGCCCGAGTTCTCCGCCTTGCCAACCACCCTGAGGAAGGTCTCCTCCCATTCAGCACCTCTGTAAAAGAACCATTAGTTGTCGTCTGAGAGCCTTACTTTACTGTACTCACTTGGCATCCTGACGTTTGGTGTCGGCGGTGACGAAGTACACTAACTGAATGGCGGGAACACTGATCACATGGTTGTCCTCAGTTAGCTTGGTGCCCCCGAAGAAGACAGGGAACAGGTGGGCATCCCACGTGACTGGATTGAACATAAAAGGAAACGTCAGATTAAGCTGACCGGCTTCGATCTAAAATCAGAAAATGATTAGAACGAGTGAACAAAATAAAAACATTCTGTGGTCATGGTAAAATAGAGTACTCTTTACTTACATCATCCATCAGCGCATCCAGGTTGAGGATGTCGTTCTCAAAGCACTCGTTCTCCCAGCGGGCACAGTTGTCCTTGTAGGTGTACGTGTCTCCGTCGTAGGTGGTGGTCGCATTCTGGATGAGGTTGTCCAGCTGACGCAGCTCCTGGAACACCTCGCGCCGGATCATGTTGTCGTCGCCATCTTTCGTTATCACTATGACTCGCCCGAAGCGGCCTGAAAGTGCAGACGGATGTCGGATTAGCCGCGGTGACCATGGTTAAGTCCCCAGAAAACAGAAAACAGTTGGCAAACAATTGGTGACTTTGCGGACTTAGGCTTGAAGGCTAATGTGGTTGGTGGCTGCTGCTGTTACCCACACGCCGATGCGTGACAATAATTTTAATTGAGTTTCATTGGCTTTTGGTTTCGATCGATTATTTCGCTTGTGCTTCTGCTTGCCCGTTTATCGCACTTCCACTTTGTATTAGCTGATTGTCCCAATCGTTATTTGTATTTAATGCGCCATAACAAATGCAGCCTCGTGTGCTTGCGTCACAGAATTGATGATATTGGATATGTACATAAGCCCAACTACCCCACATTGAGAATTTAGCAAACGTGATCACGAATATTCATGTTCCACAATATAATAATTAAATTTGTAATTAATATTATCTCATACTATTACACCTAATATAATAATACGAATTAAATATAATTCCGGGGTACCTAAGACTTCGACTCATAAGCTTTGATTTCTATTGTGAATGAACTTGAAGCTGATAAAATATTAAACGCCATCAGAAAACCACGCACGTTGTACCGACATTTTTTGTTATGAATGGTGTACAATATTGAACAAAGACAACCTCCAATGGTAGCGGCCCCAATAAACCAGAAGTCTTTTCAATTCATCAAACGAGTTAAAGAGTCAAAAAAGTTAGTTTTTCCTTACTTCTTCGGACAATTTCACGTCACTCAAAAAATGAAATGAAATGCAACAATTTATTTCTGATAATAGAGGAAAACAAATATCCGGAAAACACTTCCGGCACCAGGATCACCAAGCAACAGTAATATATTTGTGTAACTTTCAACTATTTATCGGGTACATAAACTTGTATGTATGTAGCTTATTTCGGTGGGCTAACAAAGCGACTAATTTAATTATTTTTTCGGATTTTCTTCGGTTGCGCCTCATAAACAAATTTCCTAAAGACAGGGGAAAGTTGCAGCCTGCACGCCTCTTGTGGCACATTTGGCCAAAGTGCAACCGAAGCGGAGCACTGAGCTTGGTGGCTAACTGGTCGTAACCGACTAAATGCGGTCTAGATACACCGTGGAGCCATCAGCCAACAGCGATCGCGTGGATGTGTATCTGCACGGATCGCTGGCGGCTTGTGGCCTCCACACACTCGACGGGTTTTTTGTGGCTCAGCTGTCTATTGCCAAGCGAATGTCCCAACAAAGTTCAATGATGAGTCGAATCGGAGTTAGCGTCTTCGTTGAATATAGATGCCCGCGTATATTGCATCCCAGAGCTCGTCACAGTTTACAGTCAGATGCACTGATCTCCATGCATCTCAGTCCGAGAACTGTTCAGTGCACATCGAGTGCATTTTCGCAGAATGGGGCTAATGATTTCGAAAGCACAATTGCAATTGCTCTTTTTGAGCAGCAAACATTTATACATTCCTACGAGGCTTTAGCAAATGAACTTTATTTCGTTCGCAGCTCATTTCGCTTAGCGCGCACGTTTCTCCCTTCTTTGGGTTCCACAAGGTCCGAATTGCCTAATTTTTTGCAACAGGCAATTAAGCTCGGCTAAACGCGTGAAAAACCAAAGCCTAATTTATTCAAATGATTAGTGTTAGGTAAGCCAACCACTGCACCTCTCAGTTCGCGTTAATAAAAATTGACTTTGTGCACACATTCAAAACACACCCCGACGTCTAATTGGGAAGGGCCCCCAGTAAATCAGTCATGGAAAAGTGAGTGTAAAACTAAAAAGAAAGACATTCCTGTTAAAAGTCTCCAAAGAACCCAATTATTTTTAAATTTAAACATTACAGGTTATTAAAGGAAACACTATTTTTATAAAGCCGGAACCCCTTCTACAAAGTCATATTTTCAAATGGGGTTATACTTTTTTTAGAGTTACTATTTAGTAAATAGAAAGTACGAGCATAGAGGTTTTACCATTTTTTTTGCGATTGGGTATCACCAAATTTTTTCCTTTAATCGTTTTATTTTACCTTTTGAGGGTTTTATTGCAAGTTTTTGATTTTTAGATAATTGGTTTAAATCTAGTGCAGGTTTAATTGATTTCCCATATACAATTTATTATGTATCTTTAATTTTTTAATTGGGTTATCCGAAAAATGTTGGCCACTTCTATCGCCCCAACTGTTCAAGTTTGGATGGCTCTATGTAATTTTGCAATTATGCTGTACTATACTAAAGTTAGCTTTTGACATTGTTGAATCTGCAATTATTACTAATGTTTCTGTTGTTACTGTTTTTGTTGTTTGTTGCTGGTGATGGTTGTTTTTGCCCAATAAACCATTTAGCGAAGTTAATAGCCTGTAAAACGGAGCCGAGTTCAAGACCTCAATAAAAGCCAAGATATTATGTCTCCATCTCAGCCGTGTGCTGAAATTATTTATTGCACATTTGAGCTGAGAGTCAACGGAGGGCGGAGTCGAGGGAAAACAGATTAGGCTGGGATGGGAATGGAAAAGCGTCGGGAAGCCAACGAACAGCCCCATTCGTCAAGGTGCAAAAATGGGGAAACGTTTAATTGCGAGGTGTGAGCCAAAGCTAATTTCACTTGGCCAATGTTTGCCGCGGTAGTCACTAAGTGCACACTTTTGCCGCCACTTACCCGGTCTTGTAATACGCCCGACATTGAAGCGATGCGTATAATTCACTTTGAAGTACTGCTCAACTATGGCACGCTCAGTCTTGCCCTCCCCCGCAATGGGCGAGAATAGGTACTCGGGATCGATTTGGTACTTCAGCTGCTGGTACCTGTGGGGTGGAGTTTCAAGTTTAGACAGTGGCTGGCAGCACGGACCTCGGTCCACTCACCCCGTCATGCACAGCAAGGTCAGCAGCACCGGAATGATAATAAAGTATCCAGGGTGCTTGGCTATGCATATTCCCAGATGGTAGAACGATTTGTTCAATGTCTTATCGACACACGATATGCCGCACGTCATCTGCAATGGAAAAGAACGATACGTTAGCTCAGCTATACTTCTGCTAAGAAAAGTCTACAGAAATCTTAATCCCATCTTCAACTAAAAGTCTCAAGTCGCGTGCACGCCGAACCCTAATGAGATTTGTCTGGTGAAGGTGAAAAAAAAACTGCGAAGGCACGATTTAAGTCTCTATGATATATATTAGTATCGCTAAATGTATCTGTGTACAGACAGATATGTGTACTGCGTGCCAGTTGCCGTGTCTACTTGGCTTTGTTCATCGACACCTTCAACTTAAACTTTAGACACGCATTGTTTTTGGTCACCTCACTTTGCTGCTGTTTGTCTAAACGAATCTCAACAAATGCCCTTGTTCATCTCTGCCTCGCCGAACACCAGCAAACCGAAAGCACATAAATATAAGGAAACCCCTAATAATGTTCATTAACACGGTTAAAGAACTCAAGTACGCAGCAATAACATTTTACCGCAATTAGATGTTAAAAAAATTACATCAGAAGTGGATTAAAAGTGAAACAAAAAATTAAATCGCCCCCGGGTGGACTCGAACCACCAACCTTTCGGTTAACAGCCGAACGCGCTAACCGATTGCGCCACGGAGGCAGCTGTTTCTCTGTTGGCGCATGTTCTATTCAAACCGACTGAGCTTGCGTTGTAACTGCTGTTGGGCTCTCGGAAAAAATTAAACTGCTAAGCAGTTCTTATTAGAACTTATTTATGTTATTATTTGATTTGGTCCCTTTTTGTGCGTGCTGACAAATTTAGTACATTTTTCGGTGATGACGTGGCCTCCGTGGCGCAATCGGTTAGCGCGTTCGGCTGTTAACCGAAAGGTTGGTGGTTCGAGTCCACCCGGGGGCGACTCTAGCTTTTTTTTGCCTCATTTCTCAAAATATTATGTTTAGGGAGGCATTCATTTTTACGGATAATTTCGATAGAGTACAATTTTAATTTTTAAATACTGATTCAATACTGATAAAGTGTTCGTTTTTTACTATGAAGTCGTTCTCAGCAATGGACATTTAATGTTATAATAAATATTGGTGTTTTTTTGCGATGCGCAATTTGCTTGGGACATTTATCATGCCAAACACAGTCTGTCACAAGCCAATTTGGGCACATAGGAACTTTGAATAAGTAGGCACAAAGGATTAGAGCACTTAACATATGTACATAGAACATTAGCGATGTCATCAACAGCCAACGAAAGACAAAAACATTTAAAAACCATTTAAACACAAAGTCAAGAAAAATTACAGAGGAACCTGACGCAGATGAAGCACCGACAGTCAGACATTTGCTCTTGAAGTGTTAATTTCTGATCATTGCGCCCAAACTATAATCCACATCGCTTGTTGCATGCTGAGCGGCAGACCGAAAAATTCGATTTGTCGAGCAGCCAAGACACGTAAAGTTTATACAAGTTTACTTTCCATTTTTTCCGTATGGGGTTCAACGACAACTGACGCTGCACTTTTACCAAATTGTAACAATCTTGTTTTGCTTTTCTACAGTAAGCACTGAGATTACAACACGGCCAAGCTGAGTGCTTTGGCCTGCGCTTAAGTCCAGCACTTTGCTCGCCAAATTGAGTCACGCAGCTGTCTCAAGGTTATAGCTCTGACTTCGCTCCCAACTTTGACTTCAGGCGCCCGACCCTCCGTTGACATAACGGTTCATTATGTCAAAAAGATTTAATAAATAAGACGGTCGCCCTCTTCATGCCAGCTGCGTAGGTTTTTCTCAGCTTGAAAGGTGTTAGCAACTAAATATTTGCGCTGATAAACTTGGAAAACGGATTTTGTATGTGTTAATTGCCTGGAAGTGAGTTGAAAACGGAGCACAAAGTGTCTACCAGCTCCTATTACCAATTAATACGTCGTCAATGAGGGCCTCAACCTCCAAAGCCGTTATGCAAAAGTTAAATATAAATGTTGTACAATATGGGTAAGCTCACATAACAAACAGCTTCAGATTCGGTTCAAAATCCATTAATGAACTTTACAAATGCATGTCGCAAGATCGGTGGGACCTGGGCTGCCCGAAGTCGACTCATCAACGCTTCAATTTTCATAATCATTGGACTCCCCCTTTTTTCTCCAGCCCAACAGACTTTACCCAGGTGTGCGTTTGCGGCTGATATTAAATGTGCCCGAAAAAATACATCTGTACAATATGCAATATCATACTGTTTTCCTTGTATTCGTTATGACTAACGCGATTTTTTTGTGGCATCATGTGAAAATGGTGGTGAAGCTGAATCAAAAAATTCAATTTCGATCGCCACCTGAGTCAGTGGCTATGTACACAAGTCGGTGCCTTGAACAAGCTCGAACTGCGTGCCAAGAAAACAGATTTGTGTCGGGCACTTCCCCTCCTGAAAGCTGTCAACTGGTGCCATCTAAGACCAGAGTTTTTTGACTTTAAGTTGCGCATAATTTCTAGGTCAAGTCTGGTTGATTTAATGCGGATTCTTTGCTTTTGCCAACCCAATTTTTTTATATGCATATCATTTTTATTAATGCTCAACTAAATGCGAATGCTTAGCCTGGGATCGGAATGCGATTCAAAAGCTTTTACGTTTTGGCCCGCGAAAGTTGATGACCAAAATAAGTTCGTCTCTTCAGTCTTTTGTTTTGTTGTTTTTACTTTCTGTGTCGAACCATTTGACTTTTTATTGTTTGCTTTCTGGCTGTCTTTTGTTAATGTATTTTTCATTTCTCAAATTGATGGCTCTCCTAAAGAATTTTAGTCGCCTACCAATACGCTGTTTTTCTCTTTTTGGGTCAAGTAAAAGTAGGTATAGTTCCTGGTCTATGCATTTCCTGAATTTCTTCTTTTCTGTGAAGATTCAGTTACCTTTCTATCTGACCCATTACGATCACTATTTGTCAAACACTTCTCACCCGTTCTTAGCCAACTGGGATTTTTCGCCAGTTAACTGACACATTTTCATCACCGCCTTAATCACTGTTTGCTCGGCTTACATAACTCCCGGTTTTGTCCAGCCCCGATTAAATGTTTGTTGCTGCCGCTGTTGCCTGGCTTAAGGGGGGAAATACAATTAGAAGGCCTGAAATGAGGGCTATCTTTGGGAGTGGATTGCAAGTAGAGTATTAAATGAATCTTAGTGATTCTTTTTGCATGTTATTGGGTAATTATTGAGCAATAAAAATCAGTCAAGTTTTTTGAAAAATATTGTAATTAAGCCCATTTATGATCAATAATGTGGAGTCGTGTTTTTAGGGAAGGACTTTGCGCCGTGCAGTCTCCAGGTCCAGGATCACGACTTAAACAAAAAACAGCAACTGGGCTTTAAACTTAAAGGTACAGCGCACACCATGAATTAAAAAATATTTAAAAAAAATTATTTTTCCATTAAAAAATTTTAGGTTAAAAAAAAAATTTCAAAAATAACGATTTTTTTTTTAGTTTGATTGTAAAAAAAAACATGTTATAACAGACAAATATGAAAAACCGTTATATTCATGGTGTGGAGAATTTAATTTCAAACATAATGCAAAAAACCGCATTCGATTAAAATAAAATCTCTGACCTGTACATTGCACGGCGACTTTGAAAACACGACTTTTCAGGAGAAGCGTTTAAAGTTTACTTTTGTGCATGTCCGCCATATGACACACCCTCACTAAATTACGTATAACTCTGAAAATAAGTACCGGACGGCTTTATGCTTTTAAAGGCTTACTCCCAGATATATTTGGAGTACATTAAGCCAAAAAAAAATTTTTCGAAAAAAAAAAAATTCTAATTGTATTTCCCCCCTTAAACAATTTATATAATGCATATTTACAGGCAGAAGAAGAAGAAACAGAAGGAGGCGAAAAAACGAGCAGCGCAAAAATTGATTGCGAGCAAAGCGAATGCAAGCTTTTGGCGAGTTTTTCTTTCTGGCCAAGTCAACAACTTTCACTTTTGTGCGTTGCGGTGGCGCAAAACATAAATGCCGAAAAATTACCAAATTAATATTAATTAATATTTAAATATATTTTGCTATTGGCGATTCGGCTTGAATATGTTGTCTTGTTATTATCTACTTGTCCGTGGGTTTTGCCTCAAACAAATTTAGGTCAAGTCATTGAAGTAGAACACAAGAGCGATTGATGACCTTAGCGCGTGGGAGTGACACATTGACAAAAATATTTATAATTACTGTGCTAGCCCGGCTTAAGCCGATTCAGTTATAGCTACAAATTTATAAAAACAACACTACGCTTTTGGGCCACATTTTGTCAGCCGAAAAAAAGGTCGCTTACAATTGAAATTGGTTGCCACACAATGGCTTGCAATGAATTTTAATTAGTTTACTTTGGGGCTAAACGGTCAACATTGAAAGCCTGAACAGAATTCGGTTGTTTTAGGGTGGAGGTGTGAAGGAGAAGCGGCGGTCCGGGGTGTGGGCAGCCGAGTTCTGCCTCGAGGCAGAAGCCAAGATAAAAATTCACTTTCTACTTTTTCTGCGCCTCTTGGCCGACTGACTAACCGAGTGGATTGAATGGACTGGACGGAGCGGGAGCGGGAGCGATTCCAGCGGCATGCGTTCAGCCTGGAACTGGGTCACACTGACACTCAACTCTTGGCTTAAACACAAAGTCACACACATGAACACTAGGTGGCCGCTTTCAATTTGAATTCGGCTTTTTGATTTGTTTGCTTTGCATTAATTAACCATTTACCTGGCGAGTTGTTTAAGAAAACGTTTTGATTTTGAATTTATCGTCTCTTTGTTTAGTCACAGATCTGTAGGTCAGTGGATCAGAGTCCTCAAGTATCTTTATCTGATTTAATTCATTAAATACAGTTTTAGCAGTGATTTAAAGGAAATTAGGTGTTTTAGGAATTAATCAAGTGTCAATGGTTTCCGGTGTTCCTTTAGTGGCCGCATTTTTACCATTTTTACCATTGTAGATTCACGGACTCTATTCTCTTCTTATTTCTATTATTTCTTTGTACCCAAAGAATGACAGTCCCCTAACTATTAGCTTTAAGAAACGCATCGTGGAATACCTATTAAACCAATCTCGTTCTAAGATTAACTAAGTAATTATTTGAGCGAAGATAAGTCGTTTCCATAACTCGCACTTTCTCGATCACTTTTACTAGATTGCTGGAGTCACTTTCCTTGGAGATTAGTTAATTATGACAGAGTTTTTCCGGCCATTAACGACAAGTTAATGAATCGACCAATTGACACACAGACGACGGCAAAAACTCACATGCCAAACGACAAAAAATCGAAAACTGACTCTCTGAGAAGAAATGGCGGTGAAGACACAAAGAGAAAGAAGCGGAGAAAGAAAAAGAAAGTGCAAGGCTGATCGCATATCATATGTACAACCCATATGGGTACGTGGGGCCGTTTGTAACGGCATTTCTGAACTGAAACCAGCTGAGGGCTTCTGAGCGCAGAGGGACAGAGACAGCAGTCACTTTTCCTTTCAGCCGCCCCCCGCTTTCCCGCCTTCCCGCTTTCCCACCTCTTTACCTATTTCACTATAATTAGCTTGCTCGGGCACTTAGCTAAATTTACAATGCTTAGGAATGAACATCAGCATGGAGCTTCTCGTTTTCACAACATTCGTTTGCCGTTAATCATTTAAGCAAACATTCAATTATATTTTGCCTGAATTTTAGCAAATTATGAGCTGCTTGTGGAGTTGCTAATTGAAACCCGTGAAAGACTAATGGAGCAATAAAACTGAATCGTGTGTAATCATACATACTGCTGTGTCTGCGTACATTAAGAAATTTTCCAAATAAAATGAAAATCCCCGCAGTGAAACCAGTTCAAAGCGGTTTGGTTTCAAACTACCTGTAACTCTATCAGGCTCAAAATAAGGGGGAAAATCCATATACCTGCGGCTTTTCCGGCTCAAAGACCGACATGCTCAACTGTACGTAGATGCCGAATGTGATTCGCTTAGCGCCGATTTAACCTTGAGCATCGGTGAACCCGTCATATGAAAATCGATAATGGGCAATCGATGGGCCAATCAACCGGTTTCCTTTCTGCCGCCAATTTCACTTGAACTTTCATTAACTGGGCCGAGAAACTCCCTCGGTTATGTTTGCAACCTGGTGCCAGGTCCATCCGCCAAACCGGATCACCAAAGTTTAGTTTATGTAACCACACTTGCTTTCGAGTTGTATCCGAGTCCAAAAATGCCAACACATGTTAGAGGGGCATCCGCAGTTTCCGACGAGGTGGTCTATTGGCCAATATATTTACATATTTTCCTTGCTCATTTTCCAGACGAATTTGAGCAGTGATTTTTGATCAGTGCCCCACTTTTTGTGTTTCAGGTGTGAGTTATTTCAATTGTAAGCTGCAATTGAAGCCGCTCTCAATTCGAGTTTCTTTAATTTGCCTGTCAAAAGTTTTGAGTTTCGTTTTCGTCCGCCGATACAAATTAAAGACCCGAGCAAGTTGGACTTGGCCCGCAGTGGCGGATTATTGTTGCAATTGCACTTGTAGTTTGGAAAATCGGCAATTAGATTTTATTGCTGATGCGAAAATAGAAAAACCTGTACACTCAACTTTTCGACTCGAAATACGTTTGCACTTGCCACCCCGACATAAACTGCCCATTGTTAATAATTTTTCTTGTTTCTTATATGCTTTTGATTAATTTATGTACGGATTTTCATCAACGCAGCGGGATAACTGGCCAACTTTTCTTCTATTGTAGTTCAAATTGTGTACACAGAGAAAATAAAATAACTATTGTAAATAAAAGCAAACCGATATCCGAAAAAATTTTTATCTTTTCAAAACCTCTTAAAAGAGGCGCCATTTCATAATCAAAATTTGTTAACAAATATTTTTTAGTGGTATGTATGAATGTGTCGAGAAATTGCTATGTTATTTTCACGTTGAACTTTAAAAACTATTTATTGTATCTTGCAGCTTTAAGAGATATTTAATCTTATTTTTCATAACTACGCACTTTTCAGAAAAACATTCCGAAGCGCAATTGCCATGGCTTTTGTTCAATAAACACAGTGAATAGGGTTTCAACCCCCGAACAGCAACCCCCGAGAGAAAAATTCTGCGCAACTATCATTTCTACTGCTCCATCATCAGGAAGCAGCGACGAGAAAATACCACCGTGAACAGCACTTACCTTGTGACACTGATATTTTTGACTTTATTGTTTGGCTTCGTATCCAAGATGATGTTTCCCTTGCAAACTAATTTCGCGTGGAGTAGTTTCCAGCAGTTTCGTTGAACCAGCAAACAATTCGCAAGCCTTTTAATTGCACTCGGCTTTGCGTGCTGCGCCTTTCACACAATTTCTTAATGATCTTTCAAAAATTGCACACTCTTTGCACTGCATTCGGCCATCGTATTTTGTGTTATTCCACCTGACGGGCGCGGATCGAAAAGAAAAGAAATGAAACGGAGGCGGAGCGCCACGACGACCGCTGACTTTGAGACCGAATAACGGACTGAGAGATCCCCTCCGACTCAAGATCTCGCCTTGGGGATCGCAGATCGCGGATCGCGGCTTACGGATCACTGCTGCATACGTATGAATTCGAATTCGGCATCCGTTAACGGGCCAACGGATCAGCTCGGCGCTATTTTCGACGCCTTTGTCCACCGATAAATTAACTTTGATTGGTGTTCTTGCTGCCTCGGAAAGAAAGAGGAAAGTCCGCACACACGACCGCCTCGCACGACGTAACGGAAACGAATGAGGCTTACGTTGATACGTCGAGCTCTCGCTGCGCTCAGCCACGGCTTGGCTCTCACCTGTTGCGCTCGATCGGCGAGTCGCTCTCTTTCGCAGTTCCTCGCACTCTCATTCTCCCAGGTAAGTGCACCGGTTTGCAGCGGTTCGCACGAATTTTGGGAAAAATCTGTGCCTCTCCTCTGCGTTGATTACCGTATACCTGTTTTCATCCCCAGGTGCGGTGCGCTCGTGTTTCTGCTGCAGTCTGAAGGTCGCATTTTCGCTCATTAATCGCCACTTTCTTCTGCGCCTGCGCAAAAGTTTTATGGAAATTACCGCCGCGGGTTCAGGTGAATTTCGGCAGGTTTTAATGCTGTCCTAAGGCCGATGGAAATGTGTTTCGTTGGAAGCGCGGATTTGCCCATCTTGGGAAATCCCAATGCGAAATGCAGATGTAATTTAATTGGAATCCACATGGTTAGCCACACAGGTAAGGAAATAAGGTAGCTATCTACCCTTGACACACCTGTTTTATATGAAGCCGCTCCTCTAAACTGACACTCTAAATGATTGTATTAAAAATGATTTAAATACCTTTCTTCAAATCCTAAAGTCAACCAATACGGGTATTCTAAATGAATCGCGGGAGAAAAGCGAACAGAAATATTCAGAATCGTAACTTCAGTACACCGTACTTCCATGTGGAAAAATGCCCTGCTGTGAAAGGTTTGCTCATGTGTCATGTACAGGGAAATGAAAAGTTCTCGAAACTATGCGCCATAAAACTAATTTGAATAAAGGCGGCAAAATAGTTCTTCGCAAGGAATCTCGAATCATAAGAATCTAACGTGCAAGACTGAGAGATGCGGATTCAGAATGAGGGGGACAGGGACCCAGATAACACCGCTGAGAAATTTAAGCGGAAATTTTAATAAAAATCATTTACAATTTATTTCAAACAGAGAAAAGTGCACACAAACAGTGGCAAAGGCAGAGGGACAGTGCGCCGTAAAAATATACTCATGCGCAGCCCCAAACAATGAACTATTGGAAGTGTACGGCCGTCGGCGAGCAACGATCCGATTCTCCGTATCCATCCATATAGCACACAGTATACACGGTATATAGTATAAGTGGTGTGTAGTAATGTCAGCCGGGCACGTTCAACTCGGCCGAGGAGGATTGTATTGGATCGGCCGGGTAATTGAGCAGAGTAGGTGTAGCGCACAGCCCGGCGGGCAAATGTTGAATTCAATTCTCGGCAATCAAGCCGTGCGATCTATATATACACTGATACGCTGATTCCAGCATTAACATTGTCCAAGGCGGCGGCATTAACGATATATTTGATTGGCTCCTGAATGCGGCCGCCGAGACGGCTATGCGAAGCTCGAGTCGGGAAGGTCCGAGGAGGGGTCCTTCAGTTCGATGCCTTGGGAGCGCAGCTGCTCCAGGAACTCGGTCTCCATTCGGAAGAGGGCCTCGAGCTCCCGCTGCCGACAGATCTCCTCCAGGTTCTGCAGCCTCAAGTGCTCCCTTAGCCGGAACAGCACGTAAAGCATGGCCACGTAGACGCCCACCATCATGTTGATTCGCCCTTGCCACCACTCCGGATTAAAAGTCCTGGGTCGCTGCCTCAGGAAGCTCGTGTACACGCTCAACACGAGCTCATTGAAGCGATATCCTGCAACATAAATCGCCAGGAACACCAGGAATATAATCCCGGCCAGCCCAATGTACAAGATCGGCGCGGTAAACTTAATCAACATGTTTACTGGTCTGACAGATATCGCACAGATTTTCCGGTCTGTTGATTTAATTTAAGACTTATCTATCGTCAGTCCAAGACAAGGTAATCGCCTACTGGGCTGATTAAACAGCTATGGACATTAGCCTTTAAAAAGCATAGAGCTTTGAAGGGACCGACAAATATCCACGAATCAGTGAAAACGGCTAGCCTGGATTGACATCATAGCGTCGAATGAAATGATGTGTCGGTACGTGACATGTCGAACGTGACGAAATTGCATGAACATTTTTAGGGGTTTATAAATCTATACTTTTCAACAAATTTTAAAACTTTTTGGAAATATGTTCATGCTTAGGACGTTTATAAAATAATTTTTATTTTGATTGTTAAAATAAAAACCTTTCCAGAGCGTGAGTAAGAATATATCCAGGCCTTTCTGTTTGATAAGAAACAACGCAAATATTTAGAGTGTATTATTTTAAATTGAATAGAAACAGAATTTCTGTTCGTATATTATTAAATGTAATACATGTGTAGTTATATTTACTCAAAAAGGGTATTTTTTAATCAAACTAAAATTTCCATAAAATTTCTTTGAAATGAAAACGAATGAAATACACTTCCTTAGTTACAAATTTCCTAGACAATTTTTGAATTTTAATATCCGAACAATGGCAAGTCAAGTTTTTTAAGAAAATTAAGCTTCCTGGAAGGTTTTTTTTGGAGAATGATAAAATCAACATATAATATAATCAGTTTTTTCAAAAACTAAAAAACTTCTTATTAAGGCATATTAAATCTAACAATTCACAAAAATAATGTTTTTAGTATTCAATTTATTTACTTTTAAGTTGTTTTTTATTAATCTGAGAGGGTATAAAAACATGGACCTGTTGTAGTTAGATTTCAATCTCATTTTATTGTTAAGCTGGTTGCGTTTGAAAATAATTTGATAATTGAGGTTCAAGTTCACACTTATAAGCATTATTAGAGGAAAAATTTAAGCTTTCGCTCTCCTTCCAATAAAAGCATACAAAAATAGACGAACTTGTGTACTGGCGCCAATTGAGAAAATGGAATGTGTTAGTCATTTTCTTAATACTTACTTATCCAATGTTAACAAACTCATACCTTTGTCACTATAATTGTACAGATTTGCCATGCATTTCATGAATATAATATAATACATACCAACCTAATACACTACTATCAAAAAAACCCAAAAAAAAATTTGCAAAAGCACAGATTTAGTACATAACCAAGTCCATTTACCAAGTCATAAAAATTCAATAGGATCTTGCGATCATTTAATACAAATCCAACAGATCTTTCGGATCAATAACGTGAAGTACTGGGGATGTAGAAAACATGTGGATTATACATGCTTTAACATAAATACATATGTAGATACCTCTGCTTACATTTATAAATGTATACCAACGTGAACCTAAAGTAAAGAAAACGCAGAAGAATTGAGTTTAGAACCGTGTTTTTTAATTGAGATAAATTTTTTAAAATAGTTTACTATGAATTTTGAATTTCTAAAAAAGAACTTAAAAAAAAAGCTGGTGGATGTAATGCTTACATGTTTTGGATTTAGCCGCATAGAAGAAGGCAAATAAACCCTTTACACGCAGTGGTATTTAAAAAAAATGATCATTATAATAAATAAGCTCCTAAGTTTTCTGTAAGTCGATTGTGTTTCATATTTATATGTTTCTAAATGTACAAAACTAAAACAAAGCTCATCATCTTCCTCTTCTTACTGTTACTTCATTTTACAACACTGGAATGGTCTCGGCACAGCGCTGGCGCAGCTACGTTCACGTTGTAGGAAATTCCTTCCTTTTTAAACTTTTTTGTGAAAAGTTCACGATGTCAACCAATTTTAATCTTCGGAACAAGGTGATGCTACAGCCATTAGTGCTTTTCCAGATTATCGACGCCTACGAGCGCCGCCCAAAGGATGCCAATCAGGTTCGTCTGAATAAAATGGGATTTCTGACCAGATTTTTATTATAACCACTACATCAGATAATGGGCACTTTGCTGGGCCGCAAAAACGGAAAAGGGGGGCTTATCGAGATTACCAATTGCTTTGTTGTGCCGCACAAGGAGCATTCGGACGGTACCGGAATTGATCTGGATATTCCGTATGCCGCCGATGTCCTGGAGCTAAATATGCTGACTTACCCACATGAGCGGGTGCTGGGGTGGTTCGCTACCGGAAAAGCGGTCTCCCGGTGCGCAACCCTGTTGCACGACTATTACTCTCGAGTGTGCGGCGAGGGACAGCCGTTGCACCTGCTAGTGGATGCAACCCTGCGTAACCAACGGCTTTCGACGCGACTGTACTGCGCTGTCAAGATCGGAGTGCCTGGCGGCACCAAAGGCCTAATGTTCTCCATTCTTCCGCTGGAGATGGCCAGCGGGAACGCCGAAATGGTGGCCCTGCGTTCGATGGAGAAGCAGTCGCTGCAGTCGGCGAATAAGCTGGTGGGACGCATCCTGCCGGAGTTGGTTCAAGTAGTGGATGCCACCCGGGAAGTGCAACAGCGTCTGGATTTGGTGCTGCGCTACATCAACGATGTTCTGGCCAGGAAGAAAAAGCCGGACAACGTGGTTGGTCGGGCTCTGCACGAAGCCCTCACCTCGGTTCCGCTGGTGGACTCCGAGAAATTCCGCCAGATGTTCAACGCCAACTTGCGGGACATGCTAATGGCCATCACGCTCTCCACGATGATAAAGACCCAGCTGCAAATCAGCGAGAAGCTGTCCAGCATGAACGACCGCCAGATATGAACATTTCAAATGACTCAAGCTAGGCATCACAGAGCATTTTTATTGTCAATAAACTTTGAATTGTGATCATCATTTGGCTTTATTAACTTTTAATTAATAAAAATAATATGTACTTACATATTTACACATTTTTCCTCACAAACTGAATTGGCGTGAACTGATTTCTTCGAAGTAAACAAGTACAAAGACTTAATGTCTTGTTTCCTAAACATCAGATGGAAAATTTACTAATGATTATTAAGCTGAATTTATGATTTTTCAATTGATAGCAGCGTCTGAACTTTAGGCTCTACAAGCATCGGGCCCAGTCGAGATAATGAGCTCTGAGCTCATGCCGAAAACAAATGTTTTTTGAGGCTTCCCCCGTCGCTGACGGTGAAAAGCCCTTCGGAATGATGCAATTTCATCTTCGTTTTGGCTGCACCACATTCTTACTGGCTTCGATAAGGCGATTCCGTGGGCGGGAAGCGAGTTGGCCAACTCATCAGGCCGCTTTGGCTGCCGAAAGTCAGCGGTGAATACAACAACAGCGGGGCAACTGGGAAACCCGCCGCAGATCGAAGCTCCTACGCGCGGTGATAAGGCCCGCTACAGATCTATTTCGGTGCACTCGACTCTCAGCGATGAGGGCACGCCGGAGGATGGAGACCGAAGGGCGGCGGTGGTCTCCGGGATGTGGACCACCCAAATAACGGCGAGATAAGAACGCCTTATCGCGGTTCAGGGACAGTCGGTGCCTGTCCACCGGGGTAATCAATTAGTAGGCACCAACTGAAAATTAGCGAACGCTGACGTTGACCGTCGATAGCAGCCCTGCCCCACAAAGGCCGCATCCCCTCCCCTCGACTCCTCCCGCCCCTCCCGTTGTCTCTGGGCGCCCCCACCCCCCAGCCAATCCGACGCCACCGCCGCCGCTGAGTTATCGCCCAAGCCAAGGGCTATCTGTGCGCCCCGGTCGCCTTTCCTGATAGCCATCGCCGGCAAACACTGATCCGCGGAGTGGATCGGATCGGATGCGGAGCGCAGCCTCAGACGCCCGGCGACCGGTGATCCGAGCAGACGCACCCAGTATTAGGCCTGGGATCAGTCCGATCCGTCGAAACGATTTCGAATCCGTGGAAGTTCAAGAATGAAGAGCTAAGACAACAAGTCGAGGAAGCACATAAGGACACCACATATAATGAAAGCCAGCCCACCTCCCCCTGCTTTTCAAGTGTGAAACCGAAGTGAACCCGTTGCCGTAGTCAAAAGAAAACCGATACCGGTATTATGTTCTCGCTGCTGCTGCACCACCCGCTCGTCTGCCGCTGCTGTCTGCTGGAGCAGCCGCCGCTCTACCACAGCCTCCATGACGCCTCCAGCCGCCTGGCCGAGGAGCTGAAGGCCCTGGCCCCCGCCCTGCTCCTCCACCCCGGCGACAACCTCACCGACGTGATCTGCGACCTCTGTCTGCGCCGCCTGCACGACGCCCGCGACTTCCAGCGGCGGTGCGAGCACTCCGAGCAGGTGCTCCGCTCCCGGCACGAGCAGTGGAAGCACACGGTGGCCGTGGGCGACGCCCTGGCCCTGGACGATGTCCTCGAGTGCCTCGAGCGGGAGGTGGGCAGCCTGGAGGGACCGGGGACGTCCGAGCCTCAGCAGCCCGGCAAACCGGTGGCCTATGTGGCGCCGCTTATGGAGACCGTGGACTTTGGTAAGTTATCTCTCGCCCAACAGAACTGATCACTAAAGGAAAAGCTTTAATCTGATTAATCATTGCTTTCGGGTATTCAAAAAATGTGTGGCCTTGCAAATTTGCAAATTGTTTGAGATTGTGTATAGTTCAATTTATGTTAGCATTATAGAAACATTTATATGTTTAGAAGTGATCCCTGACTGTGAAATGCCCCGAAATTTGACATTGATTTGATCCATTGACCGTTATCAACGTTAAACAAACTGATCAGCACACTGGAGCTTAACAAGAAAAGCAAAGTTGTTAAAGTTGTTTCACTTTTATGAATATTTTGTTAAAGATCTAACATTTAAATTAAATTAAATTGTCTTATTAAAATCTACCCCCTTTTTATAAAAATAATAAGAAAAAACATATTCAATTTTGTTGTCTCCTCAGAAAGCCTGGAGTTCCAAGAGAGCCCGTGCAGTGACTTCCGGATCCCCACGTACTGGGAGTCGCCTTTGGACACGGGCAGCCTGAACACCCCGCCGCACCAGCCGGAGACCGCCGAGCCCTTCGAAGTCGCTCTGCCGGAGCTGCCCACGCCGCCGGAATCGCCCGAGGAGCCAGCCCCGAAGCCCGCGGAGAAGCCGAAGAGGCGGAGGACCAAGCCGCGTCCGGACATCCAGAAGGCGAAGCCCAAGCCGAAGCCGAAGACGGAGCGGACGGCCAACACCCCGCGATCCTTGCACCCGTGCGCGGAGTGCGAGAAGAAGTTCACCCGCAACTTCCAGCTGAAGCTGCACATGATCGCCGTGCACGGGGTGGGCGAGATGCGGTACCAGTGCGAGGAGTGCGGCAAGAGCTTCGCCTCGCGGCACAGCCTGCGGTACCACGTGAAGTCGGTGCACTCGACGGAGCGGCCCTTCGGCTGCCAGCACTGCGACCGGCGCTTCGTGCTGCGTACCCAGCTGCTCTCCCACCTGCGCACCCACACCGGCGAGGCCAAGCCGCGCATCTTCGCCTGCCAGCGCTGCTCGAAGACGTGGCCGACCAAGTCGGACCTGCGCACCCACATGCGCTCGCACAACCCCAACATGGAGCGGCCCTTCAAGTGCGACCGCTGCTCGAAGGCCTTCTTCACCCGCGGCCACCTCAGCTCCCATCTGCTGGTGCACACCGGCGAGAAGCCGTTCGCCTGCGAGTACTGCGACAAGTGCTACCAGAGCGTCGGCAACCTGAACAACCACATGGTGCGCCAGCACGCGGACATCATCGAAGCCCAGCTGGAGTCCTCGTCGGAGGCCGTCGAGAGCTGAGCTCCACCCGCTGGCTGCACTGGCTGCATCCGGATGGCGCGTCCTGGCGAGAGGCTGCACCAAGTATTACGGCGCCGGCGCTCGCCGAGTTGATGGTCTAAATTTCCGTTTAACATTAAATATAATATATGTAATGCTTAAGATAAGGAATCTTAATCGTAACCTTAGATGTAGGTAGCCGTACACCCATCGTATTGTCATCAAATTTATTTTAGATTTCTCTAATTCAGTAATAAAGGTGATTATAAATATTAGAAGTAAATATTTTTATGAAGCATTGCGCAAGCATTGGCAAACATTTCTCGGGCGCGCACATCTTATCTTCGGTCTCAATGTCACAAGCCCCAAACGTTTGATTGCCAATCGCAGCTGCGAGGTGAAAGTGGCAAAACCAGAGGTGGAAAACAAAAGCAAAATATTTTAAATAGAAATCGTGCAAAAATGTGGAATCAAAACAAACATAAAGCTATAAATAGGCAATCATGTATTGTGAACCACCCATTTGGGTATAAAACCTAGATGTGAATAATATAACCCGAGGCATCGTCTATACAATATCATTAATAATTGAATAAGCCTTGCAAAGAACATATGTACATACATAGCTCTCTCTTTAGCGGATTCTTCAATTTCAGGGTCTTATGAAACCCAATTCAGGGCTTATCGCCAAAAGTCGGAGTGTATGTGCACGCGTGCTTAAATATTAATACCTATTCGGTACAAATATAAAATGTGTACACAAATCATTAATTAGCAAGAAGAAGAAGTTGACGGGGAGAGGCCAACAAAGGGTCGATCCACAACAAGATTGTATTAAAAGCGCAAGTAGAATTTTCCAGTAGATTCTATATTGGTAGATTCCCTCTTTCTGTTCGGATTCCTACAACTAAGTTGTGAATTAAAAAGAAACAAGAAAGGAGGCTAGCTTCAAAAAGCCGAAGCTTATATACCCTCGCAGTCACCAAATATGTCGAACAAAATATATAAAGGCTAAACAACATCGAAGCTATGACGATTTTTTATTAATTTTCTATATTTTCGATTATTGTTCACATGGCTATATGACATAGTCGTCCGATTTTTATGAAATTTAGTTCGTAATTAAAGAGTCGTTAGAAAACTCTATATTCAAAAAACATGCTTGTCTGGGGAAAAACAACGATGATATAATTTTATTCCAGTTATTTCTATATAGATTTTTCGATCTTCTCTAAGGACATATAACGTTGTCGGATAATAATGAAATTTTTTTCTCGATTCAAGGGTTGTTAAAACACTCCATATTTTGAAAATTATGCTCGTGGTATTAAAAACAACGACGTTTTAATTTTTTTTCATTATTTATATATATATTTTTCGATCTTTCCTATGGCTTATACTTTATGGGGTCTGAGGTGTCTCCTTCAGTGCGTTGCAAACTTCTGACTGAAATTATAATACACTTTGCTCAACAAGGGTATAAAAAGCAAAAGCTCTTTGTGTAATCACACAATTATAGATTAAAAATCGCAGTTGCAATCCTGTAACGACCATTAAATTAACTAATTTAATAAAAAATGTCACGTAATATCCACCTAAAAACATTAGTTTTTTTATTGTTTTTATAGCCCTTTTTTGACAGTTTTTGTTGCCAAGGTATATGGCAGTAGCTGTAGTTTTTTATATAAAAAATACATATATACTTTAGGTATAAATAGGTTTAAAGATTTTGTATAGAAAAAGTTTTGACCTCAGACTGATAACATTGATTTGATATTAAAATTGTTTTACAAAAAAAGTTATGATTTATTGACACTGATTATTTTACACTTTTCAGCAGTAAATTCTTCTTATCAAAATATCTTTCTCTAACCATCTATGAATCATTTCCTGTAGTAAAGTTCCTTGTCAAAATATAAACAAACATTCCTAAGTGTAATTTGCTAGGACAGATTCAAGTTCTATTTTTTATCGGGCATAAAACTAAATACACGGATTACTACTCAAGCCATGCTTGTGGACGACATTTCTCTCAATTACAAAACCACCACAACAATTATGCACTTGAGCTGATGAAACCGAGAGAGCTGTTTAAATGTTAATCTAATTAAATTTGATAGAGGCGAGAGCTTGAACTGAGGAAGTGACCGCTGGCCTAGGTCGGTGATGAATCAGACTTTATGCGGTCTGATAACCTTGTCGCAGGTTGGGATGCATGTGCATCTCGAGGGGCAGTTACTCACTCTGAGTATTTGCACATCCGGAACGTGATCGGTGGAGGAGGGAAGGCCAGGAGGTGCCTCTGCTCCCCGGACACTGACCCGATCAAGGCTTTTGACTCAGAGCCTTCCAGAGCTTCGATCCACCTACGTGCCTTCCAGTTCCTGTAGGTTCAGGGTGGGGTTCACCACCGTCGCCGTAAGCCAAGATTTGTTCTACCCCAACTTCCCCCTTCCCCACCTTCCCTTTGGTTTTGGGCCTTTGTTATCAGCGTTCGCTGGGGGAAGGCAATCACCGAACGGTTCGCTCATTGTTTGCCGGATCTTTGTAATCCAAATCTTTGCATTGCATTCAACTTATGTGTATGTTGGGGTCGATGGATTTCTGATGCGACACCATAGCACGTTTCCAGTGTTTCAAAAATTGTGCTGAATACGTAGCTCCAAACTGTGTGAATTATAAATAATACGTTTAAGAGAAAACGTACATAAATGATTCAACTTAATTAAATGCAGAATCCATAAATATCTGAAGGTTTGTACGTTTAACTATATTGCATATGCAGTTTTTTATGGAACCCATTACTTGAAGTAGTTCCCAAGATGTTTCATTTAGGAAACAAAGCTTTATTCATACTTTCCGTTTTAAATTCGTGTTCATAATGTTTTTACTCATCAAAACCGTAATTCCGTTTATTTACATAAAACCAACAACAATCAAATATATACAAAACCTCCTTGGGTAAATTACCCCACACACTTCATTCCCTCGAGGACTGATCGAAGAGCAGGCGACCCAGCTGCACCTGCTGCTGGGCGTAGGAGTTGAGGACGGGGGCATCCTGACCCGCCGCACCACTGACCGCCCCTTCGGGCGTGACCGACTGGCGGACCAGCTCGCGCAGGCTGGCCGAGATCTTGGCGGTGCGGAAGCGGTCGTCCTGGCGTCGCTGGCGACACTCCACGAAGCGCTGCGACTGGTGGCGCTTGCGCTCGATGTCCTCGCGGAGCTGGTCCCTGCGCAGCCGCTCCTCCTGCTGCCGCTCCCGCCAGTGCTCCTCGTGGTGGAGCTGCTCCAGGTAGTTGTCGTGCTGCATCCGCTTCAGGTACGCCTCCAGCAGCTGGCCGCGCAGCTCGTCCGCCCGCCGCAGCCGTTGGGTGAGCCGCATGCAAATGTCGCGCTTGCGCAGCGTCTCATCCAGGTGCTGCTCCTCCTGCTGCACCGTTACCGCCTCGCTGCGACGCAGCTCCTCGCACCTCCGCTGGCAGAGATTGAGGTCCCGCTCCAGGCGGCGGGCCTCCAGCCGCTTCCTGGCCGCAGCGTCCTTGGCGTCGAGGGCGCCTCGGAGACGCTTCAGCTCGGCCAGATCCCGCTCGGCCAGAGCCTGCAGCCGTGCCTTGGTCACCAGGTAGTCCTGGAACTGCTTGTCGTGCACCGCCTGCTTGTAGGCCTCCAGCTGCTCCACCCGCAGGAGCTGCCGCTCCAGTCGCTCGTTCTCCCAGAACTTGCGCGCCAGCCAGGCGGTCTCCTTGTCGGCCGCCTGCTGGCTCCGCTTCCCCGCCATGCGGTTGAGGATCTTCTGGTCGTGGGTGGGCACCAGCTGGAAGGCGGCTTTCACCGTGGGCGCCAGGCACAAGTTGGCCATCGAGGCGCACAGCGAGCTCTTCTTGGCCTGCTGCTGGACCGCCACCTGGGCCATGTTGTCCTGCGACTTCGACTTGGCCCGTCCGATGATGGACAAGGCGGGAGCGTCGCTCAATGGACTCAGGAATTGCTGTGAAGACGATGTGAAAATTTGATTATCAGTAAGAACGGTTTGGATAAGGCTTCATTTTATATTCGATGATTATTCAATTATAAAATTAAAAAAGCTTTTGATTAGTTCTTTGAATGTGTAAATAAAATTATCTCGTGTTTTTTACTTAAGTGAACTTAGCTTAGCTTAGCTTACTTGGAGCATCTTGCAATCCCTCTGGGCGCCACGCCGTCGTCGGTCCTGAGGAGAAGGTTCAACTTTCTGCTGAGGCTGCTTCTCCCTCGAGTGACTCCTGCGGCTTCCCGCGCTCTTCGACCGCCGACTTGTACCGGAGTCCGTATTCCTCCTCTGACACTCGACGGATCCCCGTCTGCTGTGGGAGGCCTTCCCCCGGTTGGCGACCTGGAGGCGCTTCTGTGGCCCTGGCTGCTGGCACTCCGTTTGCCCTTGGCACTTTCTCGGCGCTGCAGCTGCTCTAGGGCCTGGATGTCCCTGTCCAGTTGCAACAGCTCCTTAAGGCTCTCCTGCCTCTGGACGCCACGCCCACTCGCCGAGTTGCTGCTGTGGGAGCTGTAGCAGTCGCAGTGGCAGATCTCGCAGCAGCTGTCGGTCAAATCCAGCTCCTCGAGCAGTTGCAAGTGCTCTGCCTGCGACTGTCCTTTGGCTTTGCTCCTGGCCCGCAGCTCGCTGCGTCCGCGACGCTTCCGTTTGGGTGTCATAATGCCGGCGGACCTAATCGCCCATCAAGATTAGTGGACCCTAAGCCAACGGGGTCAAACTCTAAACTGGCAAACAAAGTGGATCGCTCGGGATTTCCTTTTCTAGCCTGGCGTAATCAACCCAAATTCCTGTGCCTGCCCTGCAGCGACATTTCCGACTGGCTTGTTTATTTTTTCATTGATTGGCCATATGCTAGTTGTCCTTGGCAACGCCACCAGACCCACCAAGCCCAAACCAAATGCCACCCCAACTCAAAATGCCCTCTCCTTGGCATTATAGAAGTCTGTTTTTGGCCTTTAGCACAGAATGCGGAAATTATTGGCGTCAATTAGTCCTTGCGGAAAGTGAGAGGCTTCAAAAAGAGTTAGGCAATCGGCTAAAAACAAAACAAGGACAGTGGGAGGAGAAAGTCTTGAAATAACATGGTGAAACTCATCCAACGCTTTGGGGGACATTTTTATTTTTAAAATCTTCGAAAGGAACGTATACGCATGTTATTCAATTCAATTTTTGGAAATAGATATCCTCTACAAGGTGCATGGTTTATTTTAATTAAAAGTAGTCTTAAAACAAAGTTTTACACCCTTGTAATTTTTCTAAATAAATCATATCATATAAATCCGAAATAGGTATGTACATTTATTTGAAACTGACTAGTGACAAAGAATATACTGGGCTTTGATTAAATTCAAAGTGAACAAAAAGGCAATCAATGCCGAAGCTTCTTTTCAGATTGCAACCAAAAGTTATACATTAAAAAACTCACAAATAAATATACATCTTTATCAAACAAATATTTATGCAATAATTAACATTTGATGAAGTTATATAAATCCAATGTCGAAAAACTTTATTTTTGGGAGCGAGAAAAGCAATAGGCTTTTGTATTTATTATTGAATACAACAAAAAACCTACACGCATTTTTACACATAAACTTGAACAATTCTAGCTAATAATTTACATATACACGCACGTACATACAATATTTAAACCATTGTTGTTCTAATACTGCAGCTCAACAATACCTTATAACCAAGGTTAGATATAAGTTAGAATGTGGACTTTCGAATATGTAATTATATTTATGTATATAGTAAGTAATATTGCTGTTCACTTTGAGGTTAGTTTAGGTTGAATCTGCTACAATCAAATCGTAGGGGAGACGAAATAAAGTTCCTATTCAAAGACCAGCGGTATCGACGTGAAGGGTAGCACCGGACAGAACGGTTCCAGCTGCAGCGATGTGGCGAAGCAATCGGCGGAGGCATGGAAGTCCCCCAGGGTTTCCATCACCTTGCCCAAAGCAAACCTGTTGAATACAAAATTTAACCTGGGTTTATCATCTATAAGCTTTTATTGGAGCTTACCATATCATCGGGCAGCTTGGATCCAGCTTAGCGGCATCCTTAAGCATTTTCTCTGCCAGCCTAGGCTCGCCCAGAATTAGATGCGCCTCCCCCAGGGCGCGCAAAGCTTCCGTATGATTGGGATTGGCGGCAACAGCATTAAGGAAACATTGCTTGGCATCAAACCACTGCTCCAAATAGACATGCACTTGACCTCGCTAAAAATAAAAGGATTTTATTCAAATCAAATTCTAATCTTCAATATAATAGTTAGCTATCCATTATGGGAACCTACCATAAACATGATTTGATGCGAGAGCGGATATATCTGGGAAGCCTCGTGTATGCAGTTGAGTGCCTCGTTCGGTTGATCGATACGCAAATAGACATCAGCTAGCAGAAGCCAAATCTATAACGGACGAGTTAAGCGAGATTTAACTTCAAACAACTAATATGGCTTCAATAGGTTTGGGTACCTCAATTTGGAGCATCCACGGTCTTCGGGGCCCAGGACGTTGGGTAAACGAGCTCAGCGAGCTGGCTGCTTCACTCAGAGCCTGTTCCACACGGGAAACTGCAGCCAGGGAAGCAGCGTACACGGAATCTTCAAAGGAAAACAACATATTACTAGGATGATACAAGTTAAATACTAAGTAAACACAAGTAGCAGGCTGGAATTCAAAATAGGCGGTCGAGTTATAAAATATTTCAAGGCTAAACAGAGTTGTCTAACAGCTGGGGATCTCAGGCAAAACATTCTCAATAACAAAACTAATTTGTGTATACGAATTTTGTTGATTTCTAAGATATTATTTATGCTTCCGCTTTGTTTTTTGGACTTAAGTCGTAAAAAGAAAAGTGATTTAAACTGTAATAGAGCATGGTACGATAATAAAAAAATACATATTTTACAATATATCATGACAAAGTAGTGAACAGTATAGCATAATAAAGTAAGTAGCAGATAGGCTTAAAGCAAGCAATGGAATCGGGAAAATGGATAAGCAGATCACGGTGCTAACCAAGTTTGATCCACATGCGATTGCGATCGAACCTTAGTTAAACCGAAATCTTTCGTTAGCAAACTTACAATTATTTATGCGAATTTGGTTTGTTTGTTATGTACAATACACACATTCCGCAGAGGTTGGGATACAGATATATATATATACACGAGTGTATATACACAGAACATTCACATTATTAGAGAGATATGCATAAGATAAATACAGACGCCAGCCAGCAGGTACTTACTCGAATCCTTGTCCGACATCTGTGAGGAATGGGCCAAGTGAACTCCGCTCTTGGTATCCGAGTGTTTCTCCTCCTCTCCCGACAACTGGGCTTCATAGACATCCCGCCACACGGCCAGCATATGCTGCACCGTGCTTAGGGCCGTCTCCGCATCCTCTAGATGCAGCTGCAGATGGGCCTTAACGTGCAGAAGCTGCAGGTTGTCCGGAAACTCGTGAAGCGCATCGTCCACCACACCCAGTGCCTCTCGCGGACGTCGCGATGCCGTCAATAGCAGCGCAAACAGGTGCAGGCAGGGAGCGTGCTCCATACGCAGCGCCAGTGCGAACCGGATGTGGGCCAACGCCTCCGGAAGCTGTCCTAGGAGCGCGTACTGCAGCGACAAGTAGTACTCAGCCAGATGATCGTTCCCGTCCAGCTGCACAGCCCGCTCGAGCGCATCCAGGGCCTGTTTATGGCACGCGTCCCGCTCGCTCTTAAGATTCGATTGGATGGCTAACTGTTGGTGCCCGATGCCCACGAATAGTTGACTGCGCGATGGGCGCAGACCTACAAGTGCAACACACAAAATTCGAATAATCGTTTCAAGACAACAACAACTTTGCGGGTCTTAAAAAATAAACCTTCAGTAAAGCCTGAACCAACTCACCCTTCACTTCGCGCTTGAGCGCTTGTTGAGCGTAGTCAAGTCCCTGCTTAACCGTCTCCAGGCTCTCGTAGCAGAGGCGCGAGGCCAGAAGACAAGGCAGCGGATCGCTAGGCGTCAGCTTCATTGACTCTTGCAGGACCCTCAGGGCGTGCGAGTGCTTCTCGGCGGCCATCAGACTCAGTCCGTACTGCCGCCACACGTGCTGCTCGCCAAAGCTGAACTTTAGTGCCTTCTCGAAGGACTCGTTCAAGAGCTGAACAAGGCCCCATCGCACAGTAGCTAAGGTCAGAAGATCGTATACTGCTGTCACGTTGCCCATGGCGTGCTGACGGGCCTGCCTAAATTCAGGACTCTGCGAGAGTACAGTATCTCTCACTGCCAGAGCCTCGGCGATGAGCAGCAGCAGTATGACCTCCTCCTGCTGGTTTCTCGGATTGAACTGCTGGCGGGCTGCATACTTTCTCGGCTTCCAAAGCTTCTTGGACGATCCCCCGCGCAAAGTCCCACCGCCTGACTTTCCGGTGAAGGGAGGAGCATAAATCGTGCCCGACACCCCCCTTAAAAGCACCTCGGCCAGCTGACGGGCGAGAGTGAGCCGCAACGATTGAGTTGCTCGGGTCTCAATGGCGTTCAGCATTATGCGGTACCGCTCAACGGCCTCCTGAAGCTTTTCCGTCTTGATAAGCACTATAGGCGCCCGCTGCAGCGCCGTTTCCAGAATAGCGCCCATTCGGCGGTTCACCTCAAGTCCACTGGGTCCACTAGCAGGTATTGTGCTGCTGATTGCAAAGCTGCTGCTTGAGGGCTGCACACTGGACGCGTTTACGTTCAACGTGGAGCCAGCGGTGGAGTTGTTGGAGGAGCTGCTCCCACTCACTATGTCGTACTCCTGCAGATAGAGTAGGCCCAGATCTGTTGCGCGCTCGAAGCAGGTAATCTATAATTAAGAATAAAAGAATTAACCAGAGGTACCAAGAAAACGACTGCGGTCCTACCATTTCCGTGTCCTTTTCTGCCTTCTTAAACTTTGAAGATGGCTTCGAGGTTTGCTGCTCCAGGCACAAGCCCTTAATGGCATAGGACTCGGCCAGGATCTTGAGACTGCGACTGTTTAGAATCAAGATATTAGATTAAGATGAGATAAATACTTTTTGAAGCTTTTTGACCTTAAATCTATGACTAGAAAAAATGCAAAAGCTACCTAAAATTGGTTGCATTGATATATAAATACATTTTCCAAAATATCCAAAACTTGACATGCCAGACTTTACATTAAAATCATGATAACAACATGATAATGTTAGTTATAGTTTGCAGGATGTAGTTAAACAGGGGGTCTAAGTATTTAGAAGAAATAGACGCCAACTTACAGGGTCAGTTCCTTCTCGGCCAGAGTGTTGAGCTCGGCCTTGACAAAGTTGTCAAGGCTCTGTTCATACTCGCCGCATGCGAAGCACAGCTTGGCTAGCAGCAGATAGGCGTCCAGAGCAATGCCCGCCTTCTGGCCGCTTTCCCCCAGCGCCAGGTTAAGGAAGCGCCGGGCCTCGGCTAAGCCAGCTTTGGCGCGCCCGAAGTTGGAGTCGGCAGAGGCGAGTGCGTTGTCTTCCAGGTAGTTCTCCAGACGAGCCTCGCCCACCAGAAAGTTGGCTAGGCACTCTAAACCAGAATGGAAATGGGGGTTATTGCATTAGAAATAGCATTAGCTCCAATCCGCACTAGCCTACTTACCATTGTGCGGTGACCCGGTCTTCAGCTCGTCCGTCAGTTCTATGACCCGCTGCCACTTGCCCTCGCTGCGGCAACTTTCGATAAGGGCCTCCACTTTGGTGGTGTTACGCATGTTTCTGTTGGCCATCAGTTTGAAGGACAGGCAAGCTGGCTGGGGTGACGATATCGGTGCTTCCTGTGTAGGGAAGTGGGTTCGTTTGGTCGTTGACTCCTCGTTTGCGTCTACAGCATTCTCCTTGAACGCTAATCGAATTATTTCACAAACATTGGACTTTTTCGTGTTTTCCTTCCTCTTCTTCTTTGTCACATATGGCAATGGATGCTATCGATAATATTTGTTATCGATGTTTCTCTTAACTGCGTGCTGTTATGCCAAGTCTGAATCAGTGTTGGCAGGATGTTATTACCAGTCAATTCTGTTGATTTAAACACTATTGGGTCTTTAATTTAGTTAATGTAATATAATATAATAATATTATATAATTTTTATAATATTATTAGTCAGCTTTTTTTTTTTTTTTTGAATGTAAATACCATTTGCATTTTATCAAAAATAAATTTAATGCAACCTTGTGTATTTGCCCATAGGTCGTGGTACATATAACTTTTCCGTTTCACATTCTGAGATCTGTTAATAAATCTTAGTGTTTTTACCTCCTGAACTGATCCGTAGTATTCTCCCGCCACAAGCTAGGCCATTTCAAAGTCCAAAAGCTCCGTCGGGTTCACCGATATTTCCTCCACGCATCTCGAGAAAGTAGCCGCCCCAAAATTGTCATTGTCTTTCTTTTTTTTTTTAACAACTCTATCGGTTGTTCTTGGGTTACAACCTGGGAAGCTTTGCTCTGGATGTATAATTTTTTTTATAAATATAAATAAATATAAACATTGTAGTTTTCCTCTTTTTAACAGAATTTTTAAGATGTAACATTTAATTGGCTAATCCGAGGCTCCAACCCATTCCTTACAAAGTGAAAGAAAAAGCTAAGTGCCAACAATGGAATTTTACAAAATGGTAACACTGATGTTAGTAAAAAAAAATGTTTGCTTGTGAAAGATTTACGCGATTGTGTCTCTTCAAGCAATTAAATATTTGTGCGGAAATTTGCAATAAAATTGTTCAAATTTGTGTCTAATTTAAAAAGATTAATAAAAAAGAGCGCGTCCTACGCTCAAGAACAAAAGTTTTTTCCCCTGAACAGTCGTTCCGAAAAATCTCTCGGCATCAAGGGGTAAGTCGATCCGGCTTGAATACGTCAACTTTTTTTTTTTAATGATTTGACTAAAAGCACTGCACGTGTGTGGCTTTGTGTGCGTGAGACAGCCGCTCAGCTGTTTTCGAGGTTTGTGTTGTTGTATTACAGCGGGCACACAAAAAGCAATCTGTTGGAAAGGGACAGAGATAGCGGAAAAAGAAAATGAATAAAAGTGAGAGTGATTTCTTTATAAAATTCAATCTTCCAATTGGAAGTTCCCTCTTGTCCTTTGGCTTTGCAATTACGAATGCACTTATGTTTCCGGCTTTACGTTTCATTTAAGCCCTCAAATTGGTTAGCCCTGCCCCGCCCCCTACGCCCATCCGCCAGTCATCGATAACTTTTATCGCGTGCTCGTCAGATGTCAAAGTTAATTGCCAGGCTTCTATTTTTTCTGGGCTTTTATTTATTTGTTGCTTGTCAAAACACTGCGAAATGGGCTTCCCATTAGCGATTCATAGCATGTACCAACAATAAAATAACAAATTATTACGTAAAGCAAACATTTAAATGCACATTAAAAAAGCGCGAAAGAGCCATCAAAGATAAAGACACCGGGTCCTCAGGCTCTTCCCCGTTTCTCACATACGACCCCTTTCCTTAGCGCAGAGAGAATCTTTGCAATTCTCCCTGTTCGTGTGTTCTGAAAATGGGGCAACGGAGGAATTCTTTTAAACGCACCAGCGACGCGCCAAATTAAAAGCCACGGCAAATCAAAACAAAGTCCCAGGCGTAGAAGGGGGCGGGAGGCTTTGGGTGGCAAGGAACGGGGGGCTGGAGGGGGACCCAGTAAGTGGACTTGCAGTGCGACGTCGCGGTTCTGCCTGCTTATGACGTAATGACAATAATTACAAGGCAAGAGCTGGTGGCGAATAAGTGGGAAATGAGTAATGGAAGTGGGAGCCGAGAAGAAAGGGCATTACAGCTTCGCACTGTGGGATTTTTTCTGCTCGTACAACCAGGGGGTTACTACATAAACATGTGGAGATATCAGTCGAACTATGTATATGTAATAAATACTATATATATACCAGATTTGGGAAATTTTCGATTTAAAATTATTTAACCAACATTAAAAATTTGCTTATACAAACCAAGACCAGCCCCACCGCTTGATTCAGTTGTTGTGCACGACCAGCAGGTGGCTGATTGTGGGGCAATATAAAGAGTTATGGGTGGTGGACGGTGGTAGAGAGCAGAAGAAAAGAACGAAACAAGAGGCGCAACCGCAAATGCACACATACTCATGGCGGTTAAGCGTAACGGTACTCCAAGAGCAAGTAAAGATTCGAAGACTTGATGTCCGGAAAAGAGATAGAGATGCAGTAAAGAAGTGGGACAGAAGAATACCTAACAATGTGTTGCCGGTTGTGCACTCAAAAAAAAATTGATTTGAAATTAATTCGGTTTCACAGATTTCACAGATTCATACATATCTGGAATAGGTATGTATGGACATAAAAACATACATACAATAAATATATAATTTAAGGCAGGTTCTCACCTTGTGGGGCCGAAAAAATACACTTTAAAAAAAAAATTTTTTTGAGAAAACGGTTAAAGATAAAAAGCTGAAATTTTTAACTTTATTTGAAAACATATTTATTTTGAAAAAAAAAATATTTCAAAATCGAAAAAATGAAAAAAGGCGCGGGAGGGGGCGTTCCTCAGTGGCGGCATGTCGGCGAAAAGGTGTCCCGCTTACGAAAGTGATTCAGCCAAAACGGGTAATCGGAAACACAAAAACCAAAAAGATTCTTAAAGTGTACATTATTGTGCATAAAATGACTAGGATCAGAAAAAAAATGAAAATTGCAAAAGTTATTAGCTTTAGAAAAAACCAGAAAGGAAGCTAGCTTCGGCAAGCCGAAGCTTATATACCCTTGCATTCATCAAATATTTCGAACAGAATACACAAAGCCTAAACAACATTGAAGCTACGACGACCTTTCTATTAATTTTCCATATTTTTGACTATTGTTTATATGGCAGCTATATAGTCGTCCGATTTCGATTAAATTTTATTTGTTATTCAAGAGTCGTTAAAAAACTCTTTATTCCAAAAATGTTCTGATGAAAACCAACGATGTTATCATTTTATATCCGTTAATTCTATATACACTGGTCGGCATATATATTTTGACAATAATAAAAGTGAAATATATTCGAAACTTGAACTTGCTTCTTTTAACTTTTGGTATTAATGGAAAGGTAATTTAAATGCTGTTTGAATGATACCATACTTTTCTTAACTCATTCGATATTTATTGATACCAATACCTACCTTTCAAACGATATACAGCATTGCCAGATACGATTATATTTGACTTCACAAGCGAAGCGTGAAATTTGAATGTAAAAACCGGTGTGTCATTACCAAACAACCTAATATATAGAGATATACTTTATGGGGTCTGAGAAGCCTCCTTCACCGAGCTTGCAAAATTTCGGACTGAAATTATAATACCATTTGCAAGGGTATTTGGGCAAGCAAAATATTTTTACCTATACCTATGACCAGAAGTATTTCGATGTCGAAACACCCGATTAATTGTTATCTTTTATATTTTCTCTCTGAACGATCGGTGACTGGTCAACGAACCTGTTGTCTTTTGCTATGTTAACAAATAAACACACATTGTTAGTTTTTGTTTTCTTAAAAAAATGAAAGCAAAATGTATTATTGTAATCCTGGAAAGAGATACGAAATCGAGAAAAGCCCTTTGAACACATTGACAAATATTAGGCTATTTATTTTAATTTTATAAGTTTAAGTTTTAAGACAACGGTTGCTGTGACACTCAGATACTCGTTACCCGGATAAACAAATTCAATATTTATCCAAACTAGTGGGCGTAAAGGAAGGCGTGGCAAAATTTTAAAAACTTTGTTCGCTGCGTATTTACAACTAGAATCCAAATAATAAAAAAAAAATGTTGTTAAAACTTGGGGCGCCACAGATTTTTTGGGTTATTACGATCAACTATGTATTATACTTTTAATATGTACATATGTACGTACATATATTGTTATATTCTACCATTTATAGTTCACAAGATCTCAAAATAGATCGTCTCGTCTGTTGGTCCTGAATTGACAAGTGCTTCCTTAACCTATTATATAAACCGATATTCCTAACTGGAAAACAATTTGTAATATGTAATTTTAGGAAAATAAAGAGATTTGCATACATATAAAATATGGCTTCTGATAAATAGTGCTAAGTTGGTCCTGGCGCAAGTGCTTGCCGGGTTGTGGAGGTTACTGATATTGGCTGCTGGTTTTCCGACCGCTGCTGTGGCTGTGTCAAACATTCTCCTCTGAGTCTCCACTCTTCGCTCCCCGGGTGGCAATGGGCCCAGGCCGTTCGACGTTCCCATTTGTGCGCTTATCACATTGTGTCGCTATTTATAGTTTTGCTTGCAATTTTTTCGCTCTGGCTCCACTTTTCACTTGTACTGCGGTTGTATTGTTGATATTGCTCTCGATTATGTTAGCGTTGCTGCTTTATGGTTGACAAAGTTTTGTGCACTAAAAAAACAACGTCAGTTCTACTTTTTTTTTTTGCTCATCAATTTTTTCATTGTTTTATTTTTATTCCGTTGCTTATTAAAAGTCTTCTTAATGTTTGTTTTACTGTACGAGAGTCCTTTTTCTGAGAAAAACGATTTTAATAAATAATAATGCAATGTGTCTATACACTTTTTTATCACATGTCCATAAGTAGGGTAGTAAATTTTTAGTTGGGCTTTTAAATCATTTTCAAAAAGTATGTATTTAGAGTTAAAAAAACTCCAAGGTACCATTTATTTCCAGAAAAACAAAGAAAAGAAAATAGGCACTTACCAAAAAATAAATATATTTCTTGATTCATCAGTCGAGTCGATCAATTTCTGTCTGTTTGCCTGTCCGTTCATAGAGGAGCTACAATACTGAGATTCAAAAGTAGATTCGCACTACTACGCGCATAAACCGAGAAATTCTGTGGTGCACACAGGTTTTATGTAGCAAAAATTGGGATCATATATTTAACTTTTTTCCATCCTTGTTGCGTGTTCACTTTCTTTTTGTATAAACGTCGAGATCTCGAAGACATTAAGAGTAATATTGGAATTGCAGGTCTGGTGAGAAATACGCAGCAAAGTAAGTTTTAAAAAAAGTGTCCCGCCCACCTTTACGCCAAAAATGCAAGATTCTTTGGCGCCCATAGTTTTTCGACACAGATAATTGGTATAATAATTTGGATTTGGACTTCTTGCACCCAAAAACCCCGAAATTCTTTGACAAGCATAGTTTTGATGATACGGATTTGTGGTTTCATGATTTGGATACTTGGGATAAATACACACCAAACGGCTTTGTTAATAAGTGGGCATGGCTAATTTCCCCCACCAGCCTAGGCTGTTTTTTATGGACTTCGAGATCATCGGAAGATGCCACTCCTTTTAAAATTGTTTATCTGCACTCTTTTCTTTTTATACCCTTGCAGAGCAAAGGGCATTACAATTTCAGTCAGAAGGTTGAAACGCAGTGAAGGAAACACCTCAGACCCCATAATGTATATACAGTCGACTCTCGTTAATTCGAAACTCGAGGGACTCATGAAATATTTCGAATTATCGAGTGTTTGAAATATCAAATGGTTCGAAATTTCGAAATTTTCGAAAGAACTTTGTTATACTGGCTTGCTTTAAAGCACAATTCTGCTGCTAACACTGCTCAATAACTTTTTTTAAGAGAAAAAGTGCCTGAAATACTTTTTCATCACTTTCGTTTTGTAGACATAAGCTTTGTAAGGTATCAAATGAGGATCTTGCTTCCTTAACTGACACCTCTGCCAAAGGTTCTTTATACTTTCTAGGGCTCATAGCTAACATTAACTTTTAATATGCATACCAACGAAAGAGTAACAGTAACTGAATAACTACACAAACCAATTCGTAAGAAGTGTGTGCGTCAAAAACTACATAATCAAAACAAAAACAAAGGCAAGTGTGAACTTGTCGGTAAATTTTTTCTCTGCAACTTTGAATTGTCGAGTGTTAGACGCTGATGAGATCGAATTAACGCGTGGTTTTGTTAAATATCAATGATTTTTTCGTTCGAATTACCAAGTGTATGAAAATGTATTGATTTAGTTCGAAATATAAAGAGATTTCGTAGGGACCTCGTGATAACTTTGATTTATAGAGAGGTTCGAATTATCGCAGGTTTGAATTAACGAGAGTCGACTGTACATACATATATTCTTGATCAGCATCCAGATCTGAATCGAAATACGTCTGTCCGTCTGTCGGTCTGTCTGTTTCTCTTCAAACTAGTCTCTCAGTTTTAAAGCTATCTTGCTGAAACTTTACCAAAATTTGTGTAGTTATTGCACGCATAATATAAGTCGGAACGCGCCTGATCGCCCGATCCGACTATGTCGAATAGCACCCATACGAGAGAAAAAAATGATCACTCCGCTGTTTTTGATCATACCGACTTGATTTCTTCCAGGTGGTGTTTTTAAACTTTGTACTTTCGAATTTCTAATCAAATTTTATTAAAATCGGGTAACTACAGTAGAATCCTGTTATAACGACTCCGCTTATAGTGTCCGTCCGGGTATTGCGACGAAAACTCGATGGCTTGATTGGTCCACAGACAGACTTATACACTTAAATGCTTCTGCTTAGTGCGTCTTCCGGGTATAACGACGAAAAATCGTCGGTCCCTTGAAAGTCGCTATAAGCGGATTCTACTGTATATCATATAGCTGCCATAGGAAATATCGAAAACACCATCTGTAAGAAATCAAGTCGATAAGATCAAAAACAACAGCGTTATAATTTTTTTTTTAGTCTCTCGAATGGGAGCTACCCGATATAGTCGGCTGTTCCGACCCGATCCCACTTATATAATTCATGCAATAACTACACAACTTTTGAAATTATAACACCCTCTACGAGGGTATAATAAAAATAACTAAAATTCTACACACCAACTTGCCCTACCAAGGTACTCAAAAATATCTGGCACTACCGCTAAATAATGTTCGTAAGTAAGTCAGCACAGCTTAGATATGCATTCGCCACATTCCGTAAATTGTTGAACCCTTCCGCATCAAGCTGATTTGATTATTGTTTGGCAACAAACCCAGCTGATTGATAATACGATCATGATGCATGCACATCGGATGAGCTCAAAAAATATCAGCCACACATTGCTATAATGTGGAAATAACAAAGACTTGCTTCGGAAGCAGAGCCCATAATATTGTCTTAATAAATTGTAAAAGTTGTGAACATTTTTTCAATGCCATTTTCTTAATTGAGGAAGGGAAACTAGGCTATGGATCGTATCTAAATAACTTCACGCTCTAAGGTGCACACGCTCCGGACAAAATTAGACGACCTCTAATTGGCTTAGTATGGGCATTATTTATGAGAGCATGTTAGTAAGGGGACAAAATGGGAAAGCTAATCAGAAAGTTTTCCACCATTAGAACTCCACCGTGCAAAAATCAGTTACCGAAGTATGTTATTTCTTTTAGGTGGCACCCGGCCTAAGACAATTACTAGTAAAAATGTTGTATTCCACACTTGTAAGAAGTTCGTAGTCCCAGCATCATTTTACATACATAAATATTTATATGCATATGCACAGAATTTTGAGATTTTCTGCGTTGGCCATAATTTGTTATAAAAATGTTCATATGTTGCACACACTTAGGCAGCAACAACAAAACGAGAAGATGACAACCGTCACTACGCTGCACCGTCGCTTTTGGCACACAAATCTCAATTTAAAACAATCAAACGCAATGAAAAACAGAAACCCAAAAGAAAAAGCAAAAGACCCCATCGGGCAACACATTTTAATTATGTTTCGAGATACGACTTCTGTATACCCTATATTCACATAATTTTAAACACTTTCACACCAAAGCATATAAAATAAATAAAATGGAAATGTACCATATGTATACTCAAACATTTAACATATGGATACATATAAAAATACAATGAATATGTACTTTGTTTGAGAAGAAACGGCGCTAAAAATTAAAATACGAAAAACAAATTAAATACAACCTTTCCCCAATTAATCGGTTTAAATATGGTAAATATGTATATACCCTACCGCTTTGTGAATACGGAGTGCAAAAACGAAAAACTGTAAACAAACGAAATGTGCTCAGAGAGGACACACACACCGATAGCCAGGCGGACAGCGATGGCGCAATACACACACACACAAACTTTTCTCTCACTGTTTGTTAAATTCATTCGGCGCAGAGCGTGAGAGACAGTGAGTCAGTCGGTCAGTGAGAGAGCGAGTGTGACAGACGGGCGAGTGGGACGAACGAATGATAAAAGAACCAACCGACCAGTGGTTCCGTCATTCCGCTGCACTGTGGGTCTGGGACTAGTTTTGGTTTTGCCTTGCCTTGTAATAATTTCGATTTCTTTTGCCCAATTAGTTCATGAGTATGTGAATAAAATCTCACCATAGCGTTCTTGCTTTAAGTTGTTTAATAAAAATTATTAAGTTATTTTTTGTCTTGTATAGTCACATCTCCGCGGTAAATACACCTTTTTTGGTTTTTAGCCACTTACTTTTGCGTTCCGCCTCACTGTGCAGCGTTCCGTTCCTGTTTCACATCGTTCCAAGCCAACCACGGCGCAACGCCTTGGCAGTGAAACGTTCCATTTTAAAAAAAACATGAACGGAGTCGGATCGTAGGCGAGCGAACGTATCAGAGACAGAGCAAAAAAATAAAAAAAACGCGTTAGAGCAGCAGCTGCCCACAGTGGAAGTGAGAAAATACCGACGGCAAAACAATAGAGCGCAGAAAATTGGTCGTGCGTAACCAAGTGACTAATCCCGGAGAAATAGACAATATAAATAAACATAAAATTTAAGTTTGGTTAATTAAAAACGTTCCAAATTCGTAAGTATTGCTAAATTGAAGAGATTTCCTGCCTCCTTCTTTCCCCGGGTGCAAGTGTCAAAATTGCAGTCTAGTGTTCTCATGTGTGTGAGTGACTTTAGTGTCTGTGCGCGAGTTTAAATAGCGCACAACAACAACAATTAAAGATTTTTAGCGAGCCGTCTCTTCTTCTGATTCGCTTTTGCAACGAAAGCAACAACAGCGACATTGGCGACATTTGCACGCAGAGAGCGGACAGTGGGACGAGAGTGGTATACATTCAAGAAAAAGCATATGTTCTTCCATGCTTGCTTGTTTTGCAAAACAACGAACCACTGTGCGAGAAATAAAACTAAGTGGAATGAAACGAGCGGCGAATGAACGGGGCAAACAAGCAAAAAAAAAAAAAAAAAAAAAGCAACCAAAATAAAAGGAAATCCTATAAATAACAGCAAGAAATATTTATCAATAGCGGACAGAGGTGCGGGAAAATAATTAAGGCAACGAAATTAAAGCGTTTAAACAGCTTCCTCTTCAGATATCATAAACGGTATTTAATAAGTATAAGTAATTATGCTTAAAAAAAATGCAGTCATGATATACTGTTTAACTTGGGAATTTCAATTGCGGCTCCCCCAAATTATGTGGCGAAAATAATCACTTAATTTCACAAATTATAGTAAAGATTTGGGAAATTAACTAGCCTTTAAACCGCTTACCACGATAATCGAACGTTCAATGGAAAACACAGCAAAATGTGAATATCGTACTGACCTCAATAAGTTAGCAATCTGCCCAGTATCTTAAGTTATACAAAAAATTACCAACCAGCAACGCCCCCATGCAGAAGGCCCTCCACCGACGTACCGCTTGGCATGTTTCAATTTCATTAAAATGTCTGGCGGCAATTAAATTTGCATAAATTAGACAAGGCAAGCGCATTTGACGCAAGCTTGCTGCTTGTGTGTGCAACAAAACGGAGGACCGACTAGAACAAAATAGAGAAAGAGAAAATAAAGAGCAATTCTTAGATCGAAAATAGTCAAAGCAAAATAAAATGTTTGGCCTAATTATTAATGTGGTATGAGCAGTATGAACAATTAAACGGCACTAGATGATTCTTTACTTGAGTTTAAGGCACTGAGAAGCTATAAAAAGGTTTATTTTACGTTTTGTATAAAATTTCTCTTTTGATTTGGTATTTTAATCGAAATAATTTAAGTTTTGTAAGGTATTTATTTTTATTATTCAATTTTTTTAAATTTTAATTTTTTATATTTCTTCTGAGCCAGTACATTGTTTAAAATTTAAGTCTTAATGGTCCAAATTTTAAAATTTAACGTATCACAAAAACTCGTTCAACTTTAAGCATAATGAATGGATGGCCATCCATAATGAGGTAGAACCAGTCTATGTTTAATTAAAGGGAACTTTAATGGGACCAAACTAAGTTATCCCGAAAAATCAGACACTCAATGGTTAACACAAAGGGACTGTGCGATGCTGGGAGAGGGAGCGCGAAAGAGATGCACACCAAGCTGCTTAGCGGCGGAGGCAATAACGAGTTTAAAGCTCCTCTAGCTTTGAGCTCTCCAGCCGCATATACCCACATTGGTCTGGAAATCAGACACACTCTCGAACAGTCGGATGCTATGGCGTAAAGTTTCTATACTTTTATACGCGCCGGGCAGCCCAAAAATAATCGCATTATGATAAGAAAAAAAAGAGCGCAAGCTTCTCTCGTTTGTGTGTTAGTTGAGTAAAAAGAGGTAACTGAAAGAAGGAACGCTAAACTTTATCGAAGCTTTCTTACCCTTGAAATCAGATATCGTTTGCTTACTAAGAAAATAGATATTGATTGAATTGTAGAGTTGCGAGTAGCAGATTGTCTTTCGTATTAAAAAACAAATCAAACTTTTCACATTGAAATTGTAATAACTTTTTGCGAGGGTATAAATCTGGACAAGAGAACCAAAGTAAAGCCAAAACCGAAACCAAGAGCCAACTTGGGCAGCACACAATTTATATTTGCTTTTTAATGCTTGTTGCTGTTGCGCAGCCTTTTTTTCTGCCTGCAAACAAATAAAACTGGTTTTCAAGTCAATTAAACAAAAAAAAAAAAAGTATCTACGAAAAAGGAGCATTAAAAGCAGAAGTCTGGTTGAGAAAGAACAACTTTTCCAGCGATAGAAAAAGGAAATTCTCAAAACACGGAATTCGAGACAATAAGATTTATGAGAGGTTTTTGCATAACTCTGCTGAGTGGGCAGAGTTAGAGCTTCTTGAGCTCTAAAAGTTCCAATTAGTCGAAAAGGGATATCTGTACATCTAAAACGATAATATTGAGCATAATTTGTCATATTTGTTGGGATGTGCACACTTAATGCCTAATCACCGTGTTTGCTGTTCTTTCCGTACAGATACTAAAACATGATTTATCATAAATGTTAACCGAATTAAAATTAATTCTCTAATTGCAGTTACAACATTTTAAAAAGGGTTTGCTATTTGACTATGTGGCAAATATGGTGTTTCAGATTTTAATGTTGCGGACAAGCAACTTTTAAATTTGCCATTTCATCAACGTGGCTAACCATTTTAAAATGTTGTAATAACAATTAGCAGTTGGTACTATTTAATTTTCACAATTTTACCGTTCTCGTTTGAAAATAAATTAAAAGGTACTCTTTGCTTAGGGTTGCTTCTTATAAGCGTAATGTTTTTTATTTTTCCCAAAAGTTGTGTAGTTATTGCACTCAATATATAAGTCGGAATGGACCGGATCGGCCGACTATATCGGATAGCTCCCACCCGAGAGAAAGAAATACAAAATTCTTACGCCGTTTTTTTTTGATCAGATCGTCTTGATTTCTTCCAGATGGCGTTTTCTAACTACTTTTGAGTTTCGGATTAAATTTTATCAAAATCGGATAACTCTATCATATATGTAGCTGCGGTAGGAAAGATCGAATAATATATCGATAATAGATAAAAAATTAGTCAATTTATTAAGTTATTATGTGATTATGTATTACTCGGAGATGGTAATACCATGCAACGGAAATAGTTGAAAGAGAAGAAGCTTACCACAGTGATTTGGTTCAGTTTTAGTTTTGAAATGGTTAAGGGGCACAACTAGTGTGACGGCCTAAAAAAATGGTGATTTTTGGGAATTTTTATAAAAAAAACTACTTGATCAATTCTTTTCAAATTTTCAGAATATATTTATACATGTTTGAAGAATATACAGTAAAATTTTTTAAGAAAAAAATTAAATATTTTTTAAGCTAGAGCCGATCTCCAACGGCGCTAAAAAAAAAAAAGTGCCCCAACTGCTGCAGTGATTCCGGCCTTCTCCGTGGATGAAATCAAAAAATGAAAAATTCTCTTTAAACTAGATGATATTGTCCATACAATGACCTACAATAAAAAAAAAATATCAAAAATTAACAAAATGGCGGCGTTTTAAAAAAAAAATCGAATTTTTCCCAAAATTTTGGTCGTTTTTGGCCTGCCAAAATTCGATTTTTGATCGGATCAAAAAACCGATAGGTCATTGTAGGGAGGACTATATATAGAACATCTAAAAAAAATTTGACAGTGATCGGATCATTAGTTTTTGAGTTATCACTGCAGCAAATTCGGAAAATGCAGTTTCGAGAAAAACGCGTTTAAAGATAAATTGATCGTATTCACTGCTATACGAGCGGCTGCTCTTAAAATTGCTATAACTCAAAAACTATTTAAGATATCGATTTGAAATTTTAATATGTTATTTTTAAAGGTTTAATCTACCGAAATATGAAAGAAAAAAAAAAAAAGATTTTTTTGAAATGTCACACTAGTTGTGCCCCTTAATCGGCCGATTTAGAGTATTTTATAGAGACCAGTGTGTGAGTGTGTATATATAGTGTGTACATAATAACATTATATATAATGTGAGTGTACGTGCGGGTTCATGCGGTCTCAACGGGCTTATCATTCCAAATTCCGACTCTCACACTCTCCTCGGCATACAAATATCGATTTTAAAAGCTCTTGTTTAAATGAAGGCCTCAGAATGTGTGTTGGGTGCCAAAATATTCAAAAAGCAAGTGCAATTTATGCAGGAAAATTTTATCTAAAAAACTCTTTCTGTTGAGGAAGTGAAACAACAGAAGAGTGCTAGGAATCAAAAATGTGAAGAAATAAACAAAATAGAATTTTGGTTCTGCAATTGAAACATACAAAAGGGCACTATAAAAACAGGGCACTTTGCTAACAGCTAAAAAACAAGATTATCGCAAAATACTAACGACTTATGTCTTTCTCGTTAAGTAAATTATTCATTTTTTTTCGGGATCTGACAGTATACATTTTGTTATAGAATAATACAGCATGAGACAGTTCATGGAATTGGTTATCGTTCTAACGGCTGCCCTAAATTATTTTACCTAAAGACTTTTTTTAACATAAACAAATCCTGTTTAAATATTAAAACTCAGCCAGCGCAGGTCTGGGTCTCCTTCAATACATTCATCCGTCTACTTCTTTAAAAGCGCCCTCCGGTTGGCGGTTGAGGTCCTTGTCATATTTCGTTCCCATCAGAGAAACCTGTGCACCAAATAAGCTCAACCAATTTATTTTCCATAACAACTGTGTGTGGCTCTGTGTGGCTGCCTAGAGAACTGGAAAGAGAACCAACATCAATTTTTGACTCGACTGCAAGATACCCAGTACATATATTATACATATATACATTATATGTAATATACATATGTATTTTATATATACACGCAGTTGAAAGATAAAGGGACTCATATGTAATTTGCAAAACAAGATTGTTTATAACTTTTTCAGTACCTACATTATTAAAAGTTTCACATACCCAGTCTTTTATTCGGCTGTTACTGGGTAAAAAACAGGGGGAGAGAACCAACAAAATTCTGTTGCCCTTCAACCATCAGAAAAGTAATGAACGTCCGACGCTCCGAAAATTGGCACAGTCAAAGCGCTAGACGCTCTGTCCCCGTTCGTTTTTGCTGGATTTTTTGGCTTGGTTCTGGGTTTTCATCCTTTTCCCTTTCCAAAGTGCGCCTCAATATGCATTACATTTATGTCGGGAGGCAGGCACATCCATTGTTTACAGCCGGCCTATTCGTAATATTGTGTAACACACAACAACAGCAACAACAACAACGCTAACAGGCAGACTCATCTTCTCGTTTCTCCAGGCAGGCCAATCTAAGCATGTCGGATCCATGCAAATTTTGAGGTCGGCTTTTTAGTACGAAAATGGAGAAGAGAAATTTCCTCTCCATTTGCTCAGTTCTTTCTATGGCTACGCTCGCTGTGCTGCGAAGGAATGTTGAATTGGAGTTGTTTAACAGATAAAGGCGTAGTCAAACTCTAGCCTAATTCGTATTAAGATTTTTTATTTAACTAAGATATTTCTGTTGCGTGTGCAACAAGACTTAACAAAAATATTGTTATTCAACTCTAACCTGTGTAGCAAACTTGCAAAAAACAAAAACAGATTATGTAAAAATTTGTTTAAAACGTTACGCTGCTTATCCAAACTAACAGGGAATATTGCAAGTTTTAGGAATGTGTCCTGAAAAAAAAATGTTTCATTGATTAAGTTTACACTGGGAAAGCCAGAGAGTGCGTCAAGTGCGGAGAAGCGATTTTGTGAATGTATTTAATAATGAAATACCATTTATGGATTTGTATATCTTCCGACTCTTATGCCTCCACCCTCTTGCCTTAGATAAAGTGTGTGTGGTTCAAGTTGGAGCAGCGACAACAGAAAGATATGGGGATAGCATATAGGAAAATGTATACACATATTACATTTTTTTCAATCTTAAATGCATTCTTGCTAAACATCATTAAGAAATTAACCCAACAGCGAAATCATACGATCGTTTACCTTAACCAAAGCCCACTTTTGTATTAAGGTAAATTAGACTCAAATTTCAGGGGAATTTTACTTGTTATCCATCGTTGTTTTCTACCGTTAAAAGTGAAGAGAGAAGGGTCGTTTTGAAAGCCAATAAAATGTGAAATTGAATTTAAACAGTAGAAGGGCCAGGTTAAATAGGATAACAAACATTGCAAATCCTTCCATTCCTGTTTAAACGGACGCGTTCATAAAATATGCAATTAACTGTACATGAGGGAAAACAATGGGCTCGGTTGGATGTTTTAGTGAAGGCAGGAGATGCGACAGGTTTGTTTGGGTCTAAGAAGCGGGCAGGGCGTTAAATTCAGCAGCAAAGCCAGCCATATTTTGCGGAAATTGTTGGTTTGTAATTTGAATTTGCGCCATTTGCATTCAATGTGACGCTCGCAAATGAAACACAATGAGTGTGTGTTCTGCGACCCAAGCGAGCACTAGCTATGCACTGAAAACAAACCTCTAAAACTTTAAGAAATGGAATACAAAATTCAAATCTTACGAAATGTTCAAATTAAGATTAGCTAAAAGTAACCCTGCGAGAAACAAAAACTTCTCAGATAATATTTTTATTGATAATGGTAGAGCAATAATAAAGCCAATACATAATTATTTATGTAGGTGTATGCTAAAAATGTATTACATATATATATTTATTATATGAAATAACAATACTTATTTTATTTATTTACAGTAATCAACGGTCAAGAAATAGCGACAGGTATGTCACACTAAATATTTATCAATTTCATATATGTAAATTGATTTTGTTTAGATTTGTTCAATTCCTTAAAAAGAGAATTAGCATTTTTTGGATCGGGAATTTCGTAGTCAAAGGTTTTGTCATTTCCTCTTTAATATTTGTACATAGTGCTCCCTTTTCTGTAATGTCCTATAATTTTTGTAAGTGCTTGTTTGTGTGTAGTTGGTGTGCGTTTATTAGCTTTTGTAACGGTCCCAGGACGCCTTTGGCTTCTGACACGCAACCAACAGCGATGCGCGGCGTCTCCAAACGGAAAGCGGATGTCGTCGGCAATATTTTGTTGGCAAGTTTTCCTGCCCCTTCCCCCGAGTGACTCCTTGGCCCTCCTCCTCCATCCCAGTCCCCCGCTAGTCGAAACTTGTAGCAAAGTTGTGTTGTATCTTCAAGTCAATGAGCTTTTTTATATGCGTTTGGGCTGGTGCGGGTGCAGATGAAGTTGGCTTACTGTGTTAGTGAGAAAATAAAGTTGCTCGACATTTGCTTCCCCGATTCTGGGCCAAAAGTGTATTAAGTCTGTGGTATATGAGTGGGCCAGAAGGAGGCGTCTTGGGCTGGATAGGCGTATACTACAGTTTGTAGTATAGTATGTGTTGCTCCGACCGTACTTCTCTACGCCTTGCTGTTACAGTCACTTTAAGCGGATTTCGCTATAAGTAGCTGAAAGTTATGTTAACGATTCTGGATGTGCGTATGTATGTTTCGGGTGATGATGATCCGAAAGTTTCGGGGATTTCGGGTTGCGACTACAAGCAAAATTGGTCACGCGTTGAAAGGGCAGGGAGCATCAACATTAAACTGAATATAAACACTTGGCACGCTTTAACCCTTGCATTTTCTGTCTAAAACCTACAAACACTTCAAAATTGCATTTCTTAAGTTCTTAAACGCAACTACTTTAAAACTCAGGAAAAACATTACTTTGCGATTTTTTTTTATAGAAAAAAGTCAAAACCTCTGACAATCTTTTGCCGAATGTGGTCCTCTAAAGAACTCTGGTTATCAATACCCGGTTTTATTGCCCCAATGAAATTCTCGCTGTTCCACAAAAGGCAATAAATTCAAGTGAACATAAATATGGCCGATGGAGAGGGCTGTTGGGGAAAAGCTCTTCTTATTTTAAGGAAGCAACCTTTTAAAATCAGGAGAGGGAGGGGAAAATCAGCCCATTCCAGTGGCGTGCAGTTAATGAGCGCTGCCTTTATTCACCACCCTCAGCCTATCGACAGCTTTTCCTTCCGCTCGGCGGCCTTCCTTTCCGAAGAGCGCGTGCACTTAATATGTTCGGTTAGTGAAATGGGCCAAATTAATAGTGCACGTGTTGTGAATCGAGAGGGAAAGAGACTTGGGGTCAACTTAAAGTACGAGAGAAATTGAGCCAATCCACCGCTTAAAGCTACATGCGGCAAATTTGTTCGTTTTGTAAATGTCCAACGGGGACCGATATTTTAGATTTCAACCTTAAACGTCTGGCAAAAACCACTCCTCCATGTTAACGACAGCCGGAATGACGATTGGCCAAACATGTTTCTTTCACATGTCCATTTCGTCTCGTTCTCTATGTTTAGAACCACAAAATTCCGGAGAGTGAAAAAGTGTTTGCCTTTGTGTGCAGGTATTCTCGTATAGTACATTCGAAGCTTACATAGGAAAATGTAGTGTTAATTGTGGCCTGCGGTTTGCGCCTGCTGTTACTTGTTTTTATTTTCAGCATATTGTGGTTTTACTCTTGAAGAAACAAAGCTAGCCGGGCTTTAAAACAAAAGTTAGCCAGGGGTTCTCGAGGATGTATTGCAAGCAGTCCTACCATTCGTTCGGGTTACCTTTTCTCGCCTTAGTCAAGGTATTAAATATATGAAGAAAGCCGAAACCAACATCTGTACTAGCCTTAAGCATAAGCCCAACTCATAACCAGCGATGATAAACAACCCTTGATAAGTATTTGATGACACCGCTATCCATATAATGCAATTGTCCACATGAGAAATGGAATTACGGTCATGATTTATGGATAACAGTGGTTTTCCTCAATGCGATTTCTCATGTCTAATTTTAGTTTTTTTGTGCGTCGAGTTAACCAACTGAAAGGAGTCACAGTCATTGCCTTACTTTTCGTGGCTTGCTGCTGTGGTAATAGTTTTTGTCTGCCTAAGTTATGAGTCACTGCCAAGGAAGGTTGCTTAAGGAGGAGAACTAAGCCTTGATTGGCAAAAAGAAAGGTCCGAGAAAGAAAAGGTATTTGCAGTTGGGACAAACCTAACCACTTAGATAAGTTTCAATTTAAATTCCTTAAGTCAAGCAGGGCATTCAATTATTTTATCGTTGAAATTTGACAATACTTATCGTGGAGCTTACAGTCTAACTTTGATACTTGGCAAGCACATATGTAGTTCTGGGTTTTATTCTTATTTTGATGTTCGATTATTGCCAACACAACGCCGAAACAGAAACAGATTTCGAAAGGTACAGCTTCAAAAATTGTTAATCGCACTCAAATCCTACCCGTTCAACAATGGGGAACGTGATGGCGTCAACCGCAGGCGTGGACTCCTCCCGTGGTCGCGGCAACGTGTCCGCAGGCTTGCGCTTGCCGGACGCCCCCACCCCTCCTCCCGCCGGAATGCCGCAGCAGCTGGTGCAGGAGATGGAGACGGAGGCCCGCAAAACGGAGCTGACCAATCCCGGAACAGTGGAGGAGCTGCACAGCCGCTGCCGCGACATCCAGGCGAACACCTTCGAGGGCGCCAAGATCATGCTCAACAAGGGACTGAGCAACCACTTCCAGGTGACGCACACCATCAACATGAACGCGGCGGCGGCCAGTGGCTACCGCTTCGGAGCCACCTACGTAGGCACCAAGCAGTTCGGCCCGAACGAGGCGTTCCCCGTCCTCCTGGGGGAGATCGATCCGATGGGCAACATGAACGCCAACGTGATCCACCAGTTCACTCCTCGTCTGAGGTGCAAGTTCGCCGCGCAGTTCCAGGACTCGAAGCTGGTGGCCACCCAGCTGACGGGCGACTACCGCGGCAAGGACTACACCTTGTCCCTGACGATGGGCAACCCGGGCATCCTGACGGGCTCCGGCGTGATTGTGTGCCAGTACCTGCAGGCGGTCACCCAGAGACTGGCCCTCGGCTCGGAGCTGGCCTACCAGTACGGACCCAATGTGCCCGGTCGCCAAGTGGCTGTGCTATCGGCGGTGGGACGCTACGCCGTCGCGGATTCCGTGTGGGCGTGCACTCTGGGACCTGGTGGCTTCCACCTCAGCTACTACCAGAAGGCCAGTGACCAGCTGCAGATCGGAGTCGAGGTGGAGACGAATCTGCGCCTGCAGGAGTCCACGGCCACGGTGGCCTACCAGGTGGACCTTCCCAAGGCGGACCTGGTCTTCCGCGGCAGCCTCGACTCCAACTGGCACATTGCCGGCGTCCTAGAGAAGCGGCTGCAGCCGCTGCCCTTCTCGTTGGCCATCAGCGGTCGCATGAACCACCTCAAGAACAGCTTCCGGCTGGGATGCGGCCTCATGATCGGTTAACCTGAAAGCTAGCGGGGATTAGGCACAGCTAGCACCGGTCGTTTCTGTTCTCCTCTTGTGTTTGGGAAATTGCACTCTGCGGGAGTCACAAGGAAGAAGAAGCAACCAAAGCTAACATGTTCAGAAACTAAATTTTGAAATTACTAATGTTTTAATTATACTAGGTTGCACTCAATCCCATTTCTTGGCTTTCCATGGCTTTTAAAATTGTATTGTGAAATGTCTACAGACAGGATCATCAAATCAAGTTGAAAAACAACTGAAATAGTGGAGATGTTATTATTCTGTGTAACATTGAATTGTAATTTTTAAAGTTTAAATTTTGGTATCAAGGAACAGCAAATTTGAAATAAAATGTTCAGGTTTAAGAAATGCTTGGCTTCGCTTCAAAATCTAAATTAATTATTATGCAATATTGTGCTTTTTCAATGCGAAATTACTCACGTATTTATCTAGTACATGCATTTTATTTGAGTTATGAAAATCCGGTATCTCAATTTTTGTTTTGTTATGTCTGTTAGTTGTGACATACAAAATTACAAACGCTGCCACCGAATTTGATTGTAAACCAAGAGTCGAAAACGACCATCAAATACTTTTGACTTTCCATTAAGGCATCTCTTCTCTGCTTTTAAAAGCTGCATTCTGGGTCACATTACCCAAACCGCATCTTTTCAGTGGTGCCACCACGAAGGTCAATGCAAAATGGCGTCGCCGACAAAATACAAAGCGCCAAATGGCGTGTGCTTCGCATTAGCATTCCACCCACGAGACGAGTCCCCAGTTCGAACCCCCCAATTTGTTTCTCCCTCTTTACGAAACACAAAGAGTTAAGCGCATTTCGGGATTTACTGAGCTCTTGAAAAAAGTTCAAAAGCTTCAACAGTTTTGAGTTTTTCATTGCGGATATTTCACATGGCAGCCGAAACAACAATCCTGGCTATTTTAACAGGAAAGGAATAGTAATGTTCTTTACCAATTTCTAACTCTTTAATATTTTGAATTCAATTAGTTCTTTCTTATATCTCAATGTTTCTTATATCTCAATGTGTCGACCGCTTAAAATTTAATTCAAAGCAGCTAGAGGATACAGGAAACACTCACGTAGGAGACAGCAAAGATTTGTTATATGCCTCGCTTCGAGGTTAATTAAAACTCTCCGTTATGTTGGGAAATATGTCGGTGAGGTTAAAGTTCACCGAGGTGTTAAAGTTGTCAGAGATATCGTTTCAGCCGCACACAAAATGACAGAACGTGAGATGCCACTGGTGGCGGGGAGATTAAGTGGAACGTATGTGAAATCGAGATGCGAGAAGTGGAGTCTCCGATGGGAGGCTAGAAAAATACCACCTTCCATCCCGGCATACGCAGTGTGTTTGCTTGCCTTTGCGTGTCCGTCCGGCAGCCTTGAGCTGTCCGCTCTCCACTCTCCGCTCCCATCTAAACTGTGTATCCTTGGCATCATCAATTAAGATGTGCGCACCAAGGAAACAAATGCACACTCGTGTGAGTCACTCGGGTTGATTAAAACTTTTCAAACCCCTGGTGTACACTGTACACCCTATTGACATCAATTGTTTGAAAGACTATCAAAAACATACAACATACAAAATCTATAGTCGAGTTCCTTGACTATAAAATACTTGTTAATAGATTCACATCAGTATATGGCATAACCCTACAAGTATGATTTATGCCAAATGCAAAACATGTCCGAGTTTAAAATAAATGTTTAATAAAACACAATGCTAAATAGTCCGGCTGATTGTTAAAGTATACTACATTTATATTTTAATGGATGTAACTTTTAAATATCGCAATGTTTTGAAAATGCTTCCTAATTTGGTTACCGGTTAAATAAGACCTGTTTCATGCATTTCATCCTGTCGATTATTCATCGTTGCCTCAGCATTATTGATCCCTTTTAAGTTATTACAAGATTTGTGCCATTTGATTAATTGCGTACAATACTGAATCAATAAATCGCAAAGCAATAAGCGAAAGGTAAACCAATCCATTATAATTTATGCACCTCTCATCTTGAAATTAATTTGTAAGGGGAGTGATGAGCGGGTCGGGTATTTGTTGTGGCAGTTTCAGCGGCGCGACCTTCACACAAAAACAAACCCCCAATCGAAAAAGGCAAGCGAACAGCAGCAGCATAAATAATAAAAACAAAAGGCGGTAAAATTTATGCCCGAAAACAGAAAAAGTGAGCAATAAATTGAAAGAGTCAGAACCAACGGAGCGCAGATGCGGCAACGTTGATAAAAGCCCGAACAATCGAAAGAGGCCAAAAGTAAAGGGCCAAATAGAAGTAAAATAAATGGGGTTACAGCTCGTCCTCCTGGTTGGATAACTGCTCTGTCTACTTCCACTTCTATCTCCCGCCCCCAGTCCGCCTCCCTTTGTTCATTGGCTTCAGTTCGGCAGACTGAGTTCATAACAGATTTATGGTAACTAAAGTTAATTGGCCAAATTGATTTGCAGGTGCAAAATATCGCGAGAGCCTTGTAGTCATCTCCTGACACGTTTCGAGATAAGTCAGATGCTGTTGCAAATCGTTGACCCCAATCACGTGTCTGGGTGGGACAAGTTGCCTCTTTAAAGGTATGAGCGAGGATTTTAATAAATTAATTCATTCAGCTCAAGCCGAATGCAAAGGTGCTTCTTCACCTATTGCTGCAGATACTGTGCGCTAATCGGAATTTATTGTATAAAATTATCTTTAGAATATCGGCAAGACTTAGCTGAAAGGGTAAACGATTCATTTCCGCTAAGAGCAAGCTACGCTAAAGGTTTTGGCGAACTTAGTTTTCATGACGAATGTGCACAGAGCGGTTCTCCGTTTCCATTTCCATTCTTGAGTGGCCCTAGAAATGTGGATCTGTTGAGTTCCCTGTTGCTCTGCCTTTCGTAGCCGACTTCTCCGATGTACAACCACCCATCCTCGCGGAGACCACATTTAATAGAGCGTGAACAACAATTGGCCTGCTCATGCGGTTCTGATTCTAGTGTTTTGTGCTCGGGTGTCTCCGCATCCGTCCATCGATTTGGCATTCATGCCGTTTATCGCTAATATCAGTACCTGCATTTTCAACGATTTCAATTTGGTTTCCATTTTGCCCCGAAAATTGAACCATGCCATTTTCGCCCCAACCAACCATCACTCGGTCCGCAATCGTTTTTCTGTGCAATTTGCATGTGCACTATAAATTTTAACGAATTCATTTGTTTGTGAAACGTGTCCAGACAGTCTGCAGAAAGGGGGGTCAGTGGGCGGTGGGTGGTGGTGGGTGGTTGATGGGCGGTGGGTGGTGGCTGGGGGCAGCAACATAAGCAGGAGTAAGGGAGGGGAGGGAAGAATAGAACACAGCATTTGCGGCCAACAAATGTACTTGCCGTTGTTGACACAATTGAGCGTTGTATTTAATATGTATTTTTCCTTTTTCGCACCCCCTCTTTTCGCAGTTCCACTCTTTGTTTTGTTTATTTGTCACATTTTTTTCATTTCTCGCATTTATTTGCGCTAAAAATTGGCATGCTAACCGCCTTGTAGTTGTGCTAAAGCAGGGCAAAAAATATAGGCATTTCAACATATTGTTGAACATATTCAAATTGTTGGTGTTTATTGGAATCCATTTGTGATTGAGATTTTATTGTTGTCATTTGGCAATACAAAATATATTTTTTGCCATATGCAGGAATTTGAATTTATTTAATTTTAGTTTTAAATACATTCAAATTCAAATACATCTTTAACCTCAGGGAAATCGTAAATCAAACTATTGGCGTAACGAAAAAGTTGGATTGTTTATCCTTTCGTGGAAAGTCAGACAATTACATATGCGATTTTCAGTTCTTTTCTATGTTTTTTTTTTACCAAACGATTCTTTGTGCTTGTTTTCCACTTATTTGGCTTTGCAACCCACTTCCATGTCTTTCTGCAGTCATTATAAGCACCTCGGAACTCAGTTAAGCAGAAGGGAAGCGCCAAGGAAAACAGAAAGGGAGAGAAAATCTGTGCTGGGGGAAAACAATTTTCAATTTGACCTTCAGCCCCAAGTCAAGCACACAAATAGAAAAGCGAATGTATGTGCACAACAATGGGATTTGGCCGAACTGGTTTCTGCTTTTCATATCGAGTAAATTTATATCAAGAAAGAAGAAACTCAAGCGTTAGACTTCAATAAGTTACATACCCTAATGAAGTGTGCTATTTTAAATTATTAAGTTGATAGTACTGTGATTAAACGTTTAACTGGGCGATACCGAGTTGAGCAGAAAGCCGATTACGGTAAAAAAAAAAATTCCGAGTTGAGCAGAAACGATTTTTGGACATAAAAAAAGAACGTCCGAGTTGAGCAGAAGACCGATTACGGTAAAAAAAAAATATAAACATCCGAGTTGCGCATGAACGCCTTTTCCACATAAAAAACCAATGTCAGAGATGCCACAAAATCATTATTAATTAAATAATTTAATTTTTCAAAAAAATGGTTCTTTTTTCAGTTTTCAGTTTAGTTTTTTTTTTTTGAAAAATTACTTAATAATCATATAGCATATGTATCAATGCAAAAGTGCGCGCGCACTTTTGCATTGATACATATGCTATATGATTGTTAAGTAATTTTTCTCAAAAAAAAGGTTATTTTTTCAGTTTTTAATTTAGTTTTTTTTTAGAAAAATTACTTAATAATCATATATGATATATGATTATTAAGTAATAATTATTTGCAAATAAATGAATAATAAATATGTAATAATTATATGAATAAGTAATGATTTTGACGCATCTCTGACATTGATTTTGCCCAACTCGGATGTTTTTTTTTTACCGTTATCGGTTTTATGCTCAACTCGGACGTTCATTTTTTATGTTCAAAAATCGTTTCTGCTCAACTCGGATGTTCATTTTTTATGTCCAAAAATCGTTTCTGCTCAACTCGGACAATTTTTTTCAATTTTCTGCTCAACTCGGCTAGCCCCGTTTAACTTTTAACACAGAAGTATAACAGCAAAAAAAAGTACATTTTACCGTTGTGAAAACTAATACCTATTTTACTTTGTAATTCTCTTTCAAAACTTATTTTCAAGTTCGTGTTTGTATAACAATAAAATAAAAATATGTTGTAGCATAAGGATTAAAACCAAATAAATATTTTATTGATAATATCAGGGCAATCAAATAACCTTACCGCATAACGAATACTACCACGACCCAAATTGTTATCCTAAAGTTATATTACAATTCCACTTTAATAGATGTAAACTTCATCCTTAGAAGCTGTCAAAAGTAGGAAGATAAAAATGATTTTACTCTTTGAATTGCAATAATGAAAAACTACAAAGAGCAGAGCCGAAAACTGTTA